TTTATTAGGGGTCTGACGAAGGCCAGCCAAGTGCTGAGTCTCCAAAGGCTGCACGCTCAGAGGCTTGGCGCCGTCAGCCCGTGACAAGCTCCATGTCACCACACTTGACTCTGCAAAGCACAAGGGTTCAGTATTCTCTGCAACCGTGCATGATGCTCTGTGAGCCACACTGTACTTCCTGGAGAGACCGAGCTTCTGCCAGAGCTTCAGCCAGAGTTTTAATCTGAGCTTCAGTAAGACAGTGTTTGTGGAAGTTGAGAGTTGTGTCATCACTAAGTGTTGTCAGAGCAGTTAATGTACTTAGGCAAAGCTAGAACGTTTCTTTTTTTTTGCTCTGTGAGCCATTCTTTAGAATTCAAAGAAAGTGCTGCTCAGGGGCGTGTCCAGATTGTGTTGGTCTGGGTGGCCCAACCACGGTGCTGGTGGCATGACGCATACACACACACACACAAAAAAAAAAAGTTTCAGCACCTATCATGTCTACTTTGACCAGCAGAAAAGAATCAGACAGATGAAGAGTTAATGACTGTGTTACAATATTTAACCCCAAAAACAACAACAAAGAACATTTCAAGATACATAATAATAATGTTTATTATTATTATTATTATAACTGAGAACATAACATTAGCAATAACTTGTGTAATAAATTATTTACAATTATGCAGAATAGTGGCAGTTAGTCAATAACATTTAATAGTTTTGTTGACTGAACCAGCTTATTTGTACTTTAAATATTTGAATACAGTGTCAGTGTTTTGCCAGTGACAATATCTCTGAGTTCAATTAGGAGCAGGAATTTTCTTTCAATTTTGGAAACTAATCCCTCGACTAAGCACAGCTCTTTTCAGCCAATTTCTACAACATTTTCTGTATAATTTGAAGCACCAAAAAATGATTATGTTTACGGCTTCATTGTAATGCTCTAGCACCCTGATGCATCACAGCCCAAAAATTAGATTTCAGCATAAGTCCCGCCTCTGACAAAGGAACTAGCCAATGAGGATTTTTGGTGTCAGCTGGGGTGGCCCATCAGATTAAAAGGGGGCCCACCACTCTCAGCCACCCTCCTGGATGCGCCCCTGCCTTGCAAACAGTTACTATAAAAGAAACAATGCAGCTTATGCTGGTTTACCAAATTAGAATATGTCTGTTTACAGCAGGTTACTCAATTTTTTATTGAAAATAAGTTTGTTAAAAGCTTACATTAGCCTTTAGACTTTGTGCATACTGCTCTGTCATTAGGATGTTTCTCACTCACATCCTCCAACAAAGGAAAGACAATATAATCTACTTTTTTTGTCAGTAACACTCGCTGAAAGCTTGACGGTGTGAAAGTTTGCAGCTGAATCCCGTGTGTTATTAAGGTTCCTTACTTTGCATCGATGTCGGGCTTCAATGGTTCTTGCTGCTTTCAGTGAACTCCAGCGATTCCTTCGAGAACAGCACTCTGTAAATGTTGAATTCAGCGCTTAAAACCCCGGGTTTCCTCCGCCAGACGCTTTTTCCTCACTCACCCCGCTCGCTAAACATTTCTACTAAACACAACCTTTCAAAATGTTACGCCTCGTCTCGGCCGTGTCACTCTCCAGCTCAGATAAAGTGCTTTTCCAAGAAGCTGATCCAGGAACGGTTCGCCTGGTTACACTCCGCTAAATGGATATTTAAAGAGAAACGCAGACTGTCGCCAGATCAGCGAACAACACAGCCTTCCGTACCGTCCGCATAATCCCTCTGATCATTGGCCAGTGTTCTATAGAGGCGTGGTCAGTGTACCAGCGCTCTCTTGTGATTCGCTTTACATGCTGTCAATCATGTACTAGCGCCTCTGTCGTAAATAGTCTTCATCACCGAGAATAAAACAAAGTCCAAAAAGCATCTATTTAAACGGTAACATACTGCATATAAAACAAATTTCTGTATAATAATAATAATAATAATAATAATAATAATAATAATAATAATAATTTAGGTCACTATTTTAGATTTATGTTGTGACATATAAAGTATTGTGTATCCAAGCACAGAAGCTTAAACACCAGATATATATGAGTTCATTTCAATTCATTCATCTGTTAGATCTAAACTTAACTGAACCGATATATCGGTGAAAATATTCATTATCCAGAAGAAATTCATTAATTAACTGATTAATTTAATGAAAGGGATCAAATTAATCAGCTCACGATTAACCCACCAAAACCCTTTTAACGTCAAAGTAATTTCATGTTGCGGAGAGCAACAACGATTACATTATTACTTCTACTACAACGTCTACTATCACTACTATAATTACTACTACTACTTCTACAACTGCAGCTACTATTAATACCAACAACAATAATAATTATTATTATGAATTACTGTTGTTGTTATTATCCTTACTATTATTATCTTTATCATTATTATTATTATTATTATTAGTAGTAGTAGTAGTAGTAGCAGTAGTAGTAGTAGTAGTAGTAGTAGTATAAGTTGTTGTAGTAGTAGTAGTAGTAGTAGAAGAAGTAGAAGAAGTAGTAGTAGTAGGCCTACTGTAAGCATTATAACACCTTTTAAGAACAAAGTGCTTTCCAAAGAAGGTAATGATAATATAATAAAGGTTATTTAAAGCTTGTGATTTTAAGTCACAGTCATAGTTATAACAATGAAGCAACAATCCAAAGCCTATTCAGAATAATTATTTTCATTATTATAAGTTTGTGTCAGCAGCACCCATTGAGCTTAAAACTTAAATCTAAAGCCCTAAAGGGGCAGAGTCTCTTCTGGTTTTGAAGTCTAGAGAGTATTAACAGATTTGACTTGTTGTATTTTTTGTTTTTATTCTGACAGAAATGATATTAATTTCAAACTTAATTTCATTTTCTGGAGTAGTCATACAGTAAAATGGGTTTTATGTTCATTCTATGTTCTAGTTGAAGATATATAAAACCGGTTTGATAGCGCCCCCTACTGGTCAGAATATGACAAAAAGCAACAAGTAGTTGAAGAGCAGTTAACAAGATCCTGGAGGGATAGGAGTCTGTTTTCCTTCACTAAATATGCTGACAAAACAAAGTGGCTACTGAAGTGCAAAATTCCCAGAACTGCTGCAGCATTTATTTCTTAATTTTGTTATTAAATTAAATGGATTTTAAAAAGGACTCAATGAGACTGAAACCATCGAGTGATGGTGTACAAAAGAGGATGTCAGCTAACAAAAAATTACCAAACAAAAACCATGTGAGTGTGTGTCTGTATGAACAGGTTCCAGAAATGTGCCACAATAGCAGCCCCTCTTTGTGTTCCCTTGTCCTCACGTTAAAGTGAGCCCTGCTCCTAAACGCTGAGCTGCAGCTTCTTTTGTCCTCTCTCTGGATATGATGTGGGTTTGATTGTCTGGGAACAATAAAGCCCTGCAGCCCTCCTCCCTCTGACAGACCCTCTCTCTAACCTTCAGTACAGCCCTGAAGCCTCAAACTGCGGAGGGACTTTTCTGAACACAACCACTATTTATTTTTTTCTATAAAAGGATTTTTTAGACTTTAAAAATGTCATCACATACCTAAAACACATCCAGATGTTCTCATGAAATATTTGTATATTTATCTTGTTTCTTATTTCTGTTAAGTGTGCATATTATTTTACTGTTAAATCTTTATTTTCTGTAAACAGACTGAGGTTTGCACCAACATACAACCTTCGCTTTTGCCATTCTTCATGTTATAAGCAACACTGAAAAAATGAGGGTATAAATTTTCAGGGAATGCTGGAATATGATCACCTATATGCTTCAAACTCTGTTTGGAAATACTTATTTTTTTAACAGATTAAATGAGAAACTTCGCTGTAATGTGTCAGAATGACCGCTAGATGTCAGAGGCTAGATGATAAATCAAACGCTGGATGTCGGCACGTAATTGCCTTTGTTGAGCTTTTGGCTTAAAATGTGATAAAATGTATAATTATTACCAAAAATGTCATAGAAACTATTCATAATTGTTTATTCACTTTAAAGCGCCCCTACGAGAGGTTTTATAAGTTTTCAGGACTGCTCTCCCACAGCAGGCACTGTGTGTCCCGGATGTTGCCATCGGAAGGGGGAGGAGGAAAACGGGGGCTGCAGTCCGGGTTGCCAGGCTAGCAAAATACCTGCACTTATCTATCATGGAACTGTGTTTATAAATAATGCGCAGAATTTCCTAAAAGGGCAGACACTCTTGAAAATCCTTGCAACAACTGGCACTTTGTAATTTTGGATTCTTGACTATGAGTTCTCTTAAAAGAGTATATGTGCTAATTTAAGATGATCAGCAATAAATAAATAAATTCAGAAAGAAAGAAAAGAAACCAAAACATTTTTAAGTATAATACCAACAACTAACAGCCGATCCTTTTGGAAATGTGATTTTCAGACTTGTAAAGCAGAGAGGGTCAAACCTAGGCTCTGACTAGTGCAGAGGTGATATCAAGTATTTATGTTCATACTGAGAATTCTTACCTGTTTAAATTGCTTTCTTAACTTCTCAAATCTGTTTTATTTGCTGATAAGTGCCTGATTAGTTTTAAGAAGGTTAAAATCTTATTATCACACTCATGGACACTGACTGTACAACGTACATTTATTGACATTATTTTTGGGAGGCTATGTAAAATTTCTTCGTATTTTTGACGGTTAAACAGAGTGCATAAGTTTTCTCACAGTTTGGGGTAGACCTATATTTGATAAAACTTGCAAATGTTTGTCAGTAATTTAAAGCACCAGGGAAAGAAAACATGCCAGGTTCACATGCATACACGAGGATTTACCTGTTGCATGTATTAACTGTCAGATTGAAGAGCACCATTCCACCTCTAGCCTATGTGATATGTGAACCCATAAATCCACATGAACAGGTGCTGACGAGTTGAAGAGGGGGTCTGGCTGGTAGAGCTGAGACTGACATCCACCACCGGTTTCCCCTGTGGACGCGCTCCTGCTGAGGACTATCCAATCATGGATCTGGCAACCCAGCGCGGCTCGTGTGTGTGTGTGTGTGTGTGTGTGTGTGTGTGTGTGTGTGTGTGTGTGTGTGTGTGTGTGTGTGTGTGTGTGTGTGTGTGTGTGTGTGTGTGTGTGTGTGATGGACTGAGTGAGGGCGCTCTTCTCTCCAATACCGTCGTTAGCACTGAAACATCAGAAGCTGAGATACCAGACGGATCCAGGTGTGAGTCCCGAGGAAAACCAGGGTACCGTTTCCAGTCTTTCACAGCCCACTCCAAACACACTAACCCGGCATTGATGGTAATGTATGCGAGGAAACAGCCGAGACTCGGAGATGGGTAAACACCTTTGACTTCTCCGCCATTTTTACTGAAACCAAAATAAGACTCTGGAAACTTCCCCCTCCAGCCGCTGCAAGCTCCTTTAGCTGTTTCTTCACCCTGATTCTGGAGCTTGGTGCTAACTGCAGTTTTTTCTATGTTTACAGGTGTGACCGAAGAGACTCTCAGCCCTATCAGGTACCTGTTAGCTCCCCGCTAGCCTGTTAGCATCAGATTAAACACTCAAGCTCAGGCTTTAGAGCCGCGCAGGCCGCAGACTGCGGAAAATTACCCGAAAAGTACACCAATTTGGTTTTAAACGCTCTCTAAGCGGTTGAAATGTTTCTTTACGAAAGCATTATTAGATAAACATAGCACAGACCGAATATATTCGTCGAATCGAGTTGTTTTAAAGAAGGTACAGCCGAGTTTTATTACAGCTGAAGCTAATGTTAGCCTTGTAGCCTGTCCGATCAGGGCCTGACCGCAGTCTGTCATTACAGAGATATAAGCTAATTGAGATCTCTACACCTAAAACTGTTCCAAATAAACACTACAGAAAAATGAGTTAACATTCAGATATGACCACGGTGAATAACGCTACCGAAAACCAAATCGAGTTAGTCTGACATAGTGTTTGCTTCACTGGTGCCAGAAACGATAATTGTGTTAATGAATAAAACTCATTAAATGATGAGAGAATTATTTAAGTTTCAACTTAACTCGGCCAAAGTTTGTAGAGCTGTAATTAACCAAACATCTAAAGAGCTGAATGTGAAGCTGCAGACAATAACCAGGTGCTCAAACTGATAACGTTTTTGCTAATCTATCTCGTAAGAATGTGACTTCAGTTATGACATTATAGATTATGAAACTATCACATTATAGACAGAGATGGAAAACTCTGAACCAAGCTTATTGTCATGAAGGATTACACCGAAAAACGACCTGTTTTGGTGCAAAAACAGTGAAGTCAGAAATAGAGGAAGGAATGCAAACCCAGCAGAGCGCAGTACTCCAACTGTCTGTGAAAAGTAGACTCTCCAAACAACATCATAACACACATTTGGAAAATGATTTCATAAAGAGCTGCACACTTAAAAAAGAATTTCCCAGATGTGTAGGAGTGTGTAAATCTCAAAAACAGCAGGAACAGTGTGGGATGTAAACATATTGTGCTGGAGTCAAGTGTGTCTTGGTTATGGTGCAAGGCATCATATTTAATATGCAATTTATATTCCTGCTTACATTTTTAATCAGCACTGTAATCAGCTCACAATGTAACATACACATACACACAGGCTCTCACAGATCCTGTTCCTGTGTAAAAGCCCATGTGCACCACCTGACATGCATTTAATCAAAATGGACTTGTTTGTCAACCTCACTTAAACCCCTGTGAACGTCTGCTGGGTAGCATCTTATATCTTGAAGTTACAACCATCCTAATGTCCACTTTTGGCCAGAATTCTTTCTTCTTTGCAAAATTGATCAGATGCAACTCCAAAATTTTACCCTCAGTGCTGCCATGGTGTGCTGTGAACAAGCAGATAAAGTAGTGGGAACAAAAACTGGTGTTATGACTGCCAGTTAGCATAACAGTTAGCGTTAAGGTGGGGTATTGCACAGGTATGTTGTGGTCATGAACATGTATAGTCAATGCAGAATCCTAGGCTTTGATGTAATGCTAAGAGTCTGACAGTGTCAACATGAGTGTGAGGTGCTAGATGAGAGGCTGTCATGTTGCAGGGTTGAGGTAAAAATCAGACAGCCACCAGCAGGGAGCTAAAAACAGTTCTTTGGTGTGGGGTTTTGGTCCTGATGCGTCTTGTCCTGATCATGCAGAGTCTGTGACCTAGAGAGGGGTTGGCTATTAGAGAAATTATAGGCATTTCACTAAGCTGAGGTTATTCATATCAAAACACATTATGACTTAGCTCCATACTGGCCTAGAAAGGTGAACCTTTGTAATGCCTCATTAGAAAACCTTACCAAAGTTGAAGTTGCTGCTCCAGAAACATTCATGGCTGCATGAGTTGGATTTGTCCTTTCTAACTTGACTGCATAAGTTTGCTGACTTTATGGGACTTTGAACAGCAGAATGATGACATTTAAAATGAGGGGAGCACTTGTTTTAAGATCATCTAAAGACTGTGATGAAATGCTGAAATCACTGTACATTGAAAGACAGCAGGTTGTAGTGAAGTGTTTGATTTGTGTCTGCAGACTCTCAAATACTCATCCAAGAGCCATCCAGGAGGGGACCACCGACATGAAAAGATGCGAGACTCCTCAGATGTCACTCCTCCCTGCAAAATGCTCCGGAGGTCTGACAGCCCTGAGAACAAACACATGGACAGCACAGGGCACGGCAGAGCGAAGGCTGTCCACACACACCGGGCCAGAGACAGGGACGGAGGTGAGACACAGTTATTACTGAGGAGGAAACTGGCTCAGTGGTAGATAATGCTGCAAAGTAAGCCTGCAAGTTTCAACATTAAAAGGCCTGGTTTCTCTTCGTTACTCTTATATTAGTTTAGACTTCACTCTGTGCTGGTTTCTGTAGTAAAGGAACAGGCTTGTTTAGCTGTTTCAGTTTTGCGTATATCAAGCAGAAAATAAGTGCAGCTATCTATCACCCGTGAAGCACTCATATTTTTTTAAAACTCTGGCATTTAGTTGTTGAGCATTAATCGTAGTACATGCAAAAGTAACCAGAAATGTATATGTGAGTTTCTGCATTTTGAACCATTCAACGGTTGAGTTATAATTTGCTTTCATGTGGTTAGGAGATGCTTAGTGAAAAGAAGTGATTGTTTTTGTATGTTGGTCAAAATTCTTCTGAATTCGCAGTGAAAGTTAAGCAAGTTTAGTTAAATCTAAATAGGCATAAAAGATTAGGAAGCAGAACGCTCAGGATTTTTGTTAGTGGTGCAGTGTTATTTATGCATGCAGTGAGGAGAGGAAAGTGGTGTTGAATTTGATCATAATGTGGGGTAAATTTTAATAACATGAAGGTATTCAGTGGGGTTGCCCAAGTTTGATTTATATCACTAGTTTTGTTAGTGATGACTGATCTGTAGCTGCAGCAGGTTGTCTGAGTTCGTGTTGTGTGTTGTTTTTTTTTTCTTCTTTTTTTTTTTTTTTTAGATGTTTCATAAATCTCTGTGTGACATTGACTTTGAAAGTTGGGTTTCCACTCTTAAGCCTTGGTTAGGTTTGAATGGAGGACTGCATGAACAGGCAAAGGGACACAATATAGAGGATGAGCAATGTAATGTCAGGTGGAGTTACTGAGTTTATATGTCTAGGGGTAATGAGTTAGTGTGAGATGATCATGATTAACACAAAAAGTGTCAGGCATCTCAACAGATTTTAAGATGCGATGATTGATCCACTTTAACTGAAAACATAAGGATTTTCCCCTCAAAACTGATAATCCAAATCATCAATATGAGTTTCAGAATCAACTCAGATTGAGTCAGTGGAATTGCTGCATCCATCTACACTGCAGATACAGAAGTCTTGAATGCTCTAAAGTTAACAAAACCCCTTCTGAACCTGTCAGGGTTCTTTCCACGGTCTTACAGCAGCTAAATCATCCACATTATAAACCCATTAAACACCCTGAATAAAAATGTTCTACCCCAAAAGTGTGAAGGACCACAAGTCCCCTTCAACGTCAGATCAGACTGTTTGTTTGATAACTAGATATCCCAACATCAGATGAAGGCTACAGGTCTGGTTCAATGACACAATTTAGAGAAAAGGTGGTTATCAGACAGTCAGGGATAGCCAGTCAAGTAAAAACTGAAATATATATATATATTTTAAGTCTAAAACTCCAAATGACTGTCTTAACGTGATTTGAAAGAGATGATGACAAAAAACAGGTTGCTCTGATGAAAAGACGGTAGAGTCAGGAAGTGGGTGTGATGACATTTCACCTTGAGGTCAAGCACCGTCTGTTTTAGTACTCTAAAATTTTCCCTTTTTGCAGAAATCACAGCATTACACTGATGTGGCAGCGGGTCTGAATCAAAATCAGTCCAGTGAAGCAGGAAATGTTCTGCCTAAACTACCTGAGAAGAGGAAGATTGAGTTACCTGCACAGAGCATCGTCCTTCTTTATGATACAGGCCTAGATATGCTGATCGCCAGATTACTCATTCAGTCAGTGAAGGGATATTACCTATGAGATAGTTATCTCTGTTTAACAGAGGAACACCAGACTCCATGATCAGATTTCCTGTTTTCATGCAACACAGAGTTAAAACTACAGCTGAGTGCCTGCAAACAGAGAGCTGGAGGAAGAGACATATATGTCAGTGAGAGGCTGAACATGCTGAATTAGAAATAATTCTCAGAGATTCCCTTCTGGCATCACAGCTCAATACCAACTGACCTTCCCAGGTTTACCTCTGGCTGCTGTGTGGTTCACTTGGGGGTCACTTTCTTTCTACCTTGTCTTTTAAGTGGTTCAGGGTGGATTCAAGGTGTTTGACAGGTAAAAAACAGAAAAGCCTGAGAAGACAACGATTGTACTTCATTTAGCTGATATTCCTCCTCAAAGACCTTTCTGCATTTGTTTGGTGCAGAAATTGAGTCAAGAAAGCCCTCGTTCATTTACATGTCATTAAATGCCAGTGCTGAAAGTGTCATTGTGAGAGCTTGGTGCCATACCAGCATACTTGAAATCTTTGCATGTGGTTAGATGTGATTCAAACATGCAGACAAAACTGCACAGGCCTGCAGTTATAGCCAAGAAGCACTGTTTAATATTTTTTAACTGCATGTTATATCCTTATATCAATCTTGAACATGCTGATCTAATATCGTGCAAGTTAGCCTCTGTGCATGTTACCCCTTCTGGTCAAACAGTAACAGCAGACCTCCATGGTGCTGTTTTTATCAATGTCGTGTAGTTTTCCCCCCAAAGCAATTTAAAAAGATGTTACAAATGTCAACATTTCCTGAAGTGTTTCCACTTCTCTCGTCTAATTATAGCTGGCAGAGCTGTGGAGAAAGGGTGAGAAAAAGCAGGTTCAGTCCTGCTCTGGGTTTGTCCCACCTGTATTACCTGTCCTGGTGCTGACAGTGTACTAAGATCTGTAAACGGGTTAGTACTGGTGAATGGATTTTAGAGCTCAGATATTGGTTAAGTTAAAAGAAGACGAAAAAACTTCCAGTTATACCACCACTTTAGTGTAAATTTGGAGTGGGTTAGGGTTAGGGTTAGTAGGATACAACTTACCCAGTAGGATACAACACTCCTAGTTTGAAAGGCTTTCCTTGCAGCAAGGGGAATAAAAATGTGCACAAGATATTCTGTACAAATTATAAAACGTAAAAATACCATGTCATTATTGCTGTGTGGCAAAAGTCTGGCCTGTTGATAAATCCACATTAACCGGTGCTTGTTTATTAAATGCAGCCACAGAAGCAGACTGGGATGCATATGTAGAGGGACACTGTAGCAGAGCTCATGTGCTTTGGCCATATGCTGAAATCTTCAGTGCTAGAACACCATATGGCAGAATCAGAAAGATAAGCAAGTTTTCTGCTTGGGCACAGTCTGGAAGGTGAAACTTGTAATTTTGAGTCCAGTTAATCAGATCTGAACCAAGGTTTTAAGAAATGTTTCAACTCTGTGAATAAGTCTCTTTCCAAACAGTCATCCTGGATGTCACTGTGAGAGGTTTAATCAACATAACTGTCGTCGAAAGAAACCAAACTGCAGCTTTTCCAACAACATACTTTTCATTAACCTGCATTTCTAAGAGGAAAGAAATTTTGACAGGATGTATCGGTGATTTAATGACTTGCATGTGCTGGAGGATTTTTGACTCACTTTGCAGATTTTTTTCCTTCCAGTCCTGTTTTTGATCGGCACGAGCGCTACTGCCAGACTTAAGACTGAAATTGTTTGTTGCATTTACAGACGTATGAATTGTATCAATTTACAGTTAATTTTAAGTTAATGAACAAAGCAGTCATTTCGTGATGTACCATGAAATTGTTCTGTTTTTATTATTTTTATTTACGAGCCTTTGGGAGAGGGTTGTTGTGTAGTGTGTATCTTCTATCAGAGATTGCAGATACAGCATTATTAATCATACCACTGTTTGTGTTTAAAAGTCTGTACAACCACTTTTCCACCTCTTGAGTCCACAGTGAGTGTAAATCACTGCAGGCTTCTGCTGTTTGTTGTAGATCCCAGCCAAGCTTGTCTCTGTCTGTGAACTTGGCACAGTTCAGTTATTGGCTGTTACTGATTGTTTTCTCTCTCCTTGTGTTTTGTTGCAGGGACCAGTTATTCTCCACAGGAAAACTCTCACAACCACAGTTCCCTTCATAGCTCCAACTCACATTCAAACCCCAGCAAGACCTCAGACACAGTAAGTATAACCTGTGCTGCAACATGGGGCCCATAATGGACTAAACATCTTTATTTCAATGCCGCATGTTGAAGCCTTTCTCAATCATGGCTGGTTTGGGGTAGATGCACAGTTTTCACTTCAAGTTTTGATGATTTCTCATAAGTTAAAAAAGCATAAAGAGATGTTGATGTAAAGCATAAAAATGGGTAAACAGTTACTATTCATCTGGATTCAGGATGAAACTGCCCTGTACAGGTTGGTTGATCTCTACAGACGTAGGGAGAGCAGTGTAATCCTCTGGGAAATAACAGGCCAGTGAGAATGCCTCCTTTGGGGCTTGTTTTGCCTCTGTTAGGTTCAGATTGTTGTTCTGAGTGTCTGGCAAAACTGCCATAAAGTGTCACTGCAGTGATGGACTTTTTATCGATTGATCCTTATTTTGAACCAGTGAAGCCATTGCATTTCTGCGCTGGTGTTTATCATCAAAGACAGTGATTCAGCTCAAAGAATAAAGGAGTTGTTGGCCTACCATGGCTTGGATTGGTGAGTCTTCGGTGTGATTGTGTACAGCAAGAATATAGTGTCGAATCAGAAAAAAAAAGAAGAAAATCCAAGCAACAGTCTAACCAGCAAATCCCATATTCTGTGAGGTCTGATGGCTCTGGAGAGTGATATAAAGGCAGTTTGAGGTTGTACTGAATGAGTTATTCAGTTAGCAGTCCCCGGGCCAAACCCAGCTCATAGGCTACCTCTGAGTGGTCCCACCATGACCAGCATACATCAATCTAAAACCATTTAACAGTTCATCTGGTGTGGCCTGAAGTATTTCTTTGTCCAGAGTTGCACCTGCGCAATATCATTAAAGGACATTTTAATGTTTATTATTTTATCAAAAAGTAGTACTGGTATCGTGACAGCCCTCCGATGCAGTAATTTATGAATAGGCCTGTAACATGTGAGGTATGACTTTGAAAAACACTACTCAGACTCTCAAGTAGTGAGAATGAGCACTGGCTGTTTTGGATGAAGTGAGCATATGTAACGACGACACTGACTGCTGTTCATCAGTTTTCATGCACTCAGTGTAACTCTGCCAGATTTGTGACTGAAAGTTTTTGAAATGTTCAATAATTTCTCATTCTCATTCCCACTAAAAATGTCTGGCCTTGTTTTGCTGGTCTTTAAATTTGCCCCCTCTAAAAATGTTATTAATTTGTCCTGGGTCAGGGTTAGAGTTAGGGGTTAGGCGTAAGGGGATAGGAGTCAAAGTTGGGGTTAGGATTAGGGGTTGAAAAGTAATTGAATGTCCCCGGTGTACACAAAGTTAAACAAAATGCAACAAGATTTTAGGGTTTCCTGAAGTAGGACAGAGGAGCAAAAACTGATCCATCAGTGCATTGTTATTAATTTGTAACAATAATGTAATTTGTTTTACCCCAATATGGATTCAGGCAGCTCTGGTGTTGACCCTTTATAAAAGCCAACTGTCAGCCAAACAGCTAACTACTCACTGAACCCCAGCTGCAACTTTGTCTGTCCTTGATTTCAACAGAACGTGTCCAACAACAGTTATGACCCATGTTTCCTGTACATGTAGAAGCACTTCTCTCTGCTGCTGTGGATATGAGCCGTGAGATTAATAAAAAAGCAGCGAGCCACATCGTTTGCTCTGACATCATCACAGTGCAGTGTACGGATTTCCATCTTTTGAGCAGCAGAGTCCTCCTGTCCACCCTGTCACTCACTGTGGTGTTAATTTTCTCCAGACTTCATTTGTTAAGTTTCTGGAGGACTGTATTAATGATCGGCTGTGTTGAGCATGCCGAGGATTTAGTCGCGTACATCATACTTGAGCTGACTGTTGGTAAGCCTGTACAAGAGTCACCTTTTAACTGTCCTTCTGGGGCAGCCGCTAAATCTTGACAAGGCTTCCTCTCAGTCTTTTTGTCTTAAGGCACAGGTGTTTACCTGTGAACTTGACAACCTGATCACATTTATGTCCAGCTGTTCTTTTTGCTCTTGACTAGGCCTGGGCGATTTGGCAAAAAAAAATGATCACGATTTATTTTGTCATATCGTCCGATCTCGATTATTACCCCGATTTTTTAAAACTGCGAGTTTTAAAACATCTCTACTAAAAACTAAAAAAAACTAGAGACTAGTTCAACATTTTATTAACATACAAAGTCAATAACAAAGCAAATTGAATAAGATTCACTTTAATTCAACATTTTAATTCAACAGTACAACAAATGTAGATAAATACTAAGTAATACAGAGAATTAGTTTACAGTCCTGAGTGTTTTTGCAGGTATGCAAGACCCAAAATAAACAAATCGCCCCTCAGAGATAATGAAGGTGCTTTAAAATGTAAACATTAGGTGATGTTAACATAGATGATACGCATACCTGCCAACATTTGGGTTATATAATCCAGGAGTTGTTGTGGGGCACGCTGGGCAGTTTTGGGGTGACCTCTTATGGTGAATACGAGCTAATTATGAGAGTATTTGTAATTAAATTGCTCATCCAAATAAGTATAAGTGAAGCTGCACACTTTTGTTTAGTTTTAACAATAACAAATGGTAATAAAAAGATAAAAGGTAGGATATGCCTTTTAACTTATTTAGTCCACTAATATTAGTGTTAAAGTCCTCATATGTTTTACATACTCTCTCCTGTATGAGTCTCTCTGAACATCTGTGCATGTAATACAGCACTTTTTTATCTGAGGCTGCCCTGAATGCATCACTCTCGCATATCTCGCGTTTGTTTTCCTTTCATTGAAGTTTTCATTTTCCAACAAACACTGCTTTAATATAGTTTACAGCTGAAACCGACCTGAATCATCCAGAACTGTAAAGTAAAAGTTTCAATCCAGTGTCTGTGAGGCTCAGCAGAAATACAGGACAAACTTCGGTTGTCTGGAAACCCGGAAACTTTAGACAAATATAGTGATCCAATTTATGAATGAATGCTGACAATTAGGCCTGTCACAATAACAAATTTTGCTGGACGATAATTGTGCTACAAATTATTGCCGATAAACGATATTATTGACACCGTTTTTTGAATTATAGAAAATGACAATATATGGCATAATAATACGAGTACACCATGTCAAAAGTGATAAACTCTCATTTCTGCAGTCTGTCAGCGCGCACCATTTTGCGCTGTTTTGTTTATATTTGCTTTGATTACCAAACGCTTCAGTAAGCGGTACCTGTCAGGACGATGGCTCCGCAGCACCTCCGGCGGTACTTTTTTTGCTCAGTTGGGAAAAATGGAGGGGATGATTGTGCTTGAGCTGCGCGTGCATGTTCGTCGTATTCCCCTTCTTTGTCACCACAACTTTGGAACAAATACGACATATCGCCTCGTCCGTATTTGTGGGCTCACCTCTTTCATTTGGTTTAAAGCCGAAATATTCCCACACTTGGGCTGTTGCGTTCGGTTTAGACAACAAAGCTGTCGTGTTCATTCTGTTTACTTGCTTTTCACTCACGACGCTCACTTGCAGCACTGTATCCAAAAGTCTGTGTCTGCGCGCCAGCCCCCCCCCCCCCCCCCGACTGACAGGAGGGTTCGCTAACTCCGTTCATATAGAGCCAACGCCCCCAGGTGCAAAAAATGCACAGAGTGAGACCTCTTCTCTCATCCAGCGTGTTTGGTAGCGAGAGAGGAGGAAAACAAACGCACGTTAATTATCGAGGCTGGCAAAATGACCGACCTCGTTTTTATTTACCGAGCGATAAGGCGATTTATTGATTATCGCGACAGGCCTACTGACAATGCTACAAGAGATTCCCGGGAGAAATGACAATACGGGGGGTGGGCGGGAGATAGGTCTGAAATACGCTAGAGTCCCGGGAAAAAACGGGAGTGTTGGCAGGTATGGATATAATTGATCGTTGTTTTGGTCTGGTGGCTGCACCGCTGGTTGTGGCTAAACTGCTAATGCTACTCGTACCGTCAGCAGTGACAGGCTGTACAGACTCCACTCGCATTTTCATGCTTCCCGCATAATCACTCGGGAAGAACAGATTTGTTATTTAGCCGGTTTATCGGCTTAATTGCTCGACGTCACTTTGGAGAGACATTGAATAACTTCTCAACTATAACATCCATTCCTCAGAGGATGACTCAAAGTCACGGCTGGCATCTATCTTGCTGCCCTCAACTCCGCGTTTAGCTCCATGTTCGGTCATTCTGTTTACTTTTCCAGTAACTTACAGAAGTGAGCAGGAAAAGCTCGACTGATCGGCTGTTGTGACGCACGTTTCCGCCATGTTTGATCGAGTAAATATGCTCACAGCTGATCACCGTGATCGAACTGAAATTAATTGCGATCATCGATCACGATCATATAATCGCCCAGTCCTACTCTTGACTCTTTTATTCTGTTGATTAGTGGACAACAGTGATTTTATTTTGGCTCAGTCTTGTTGAAACAATACAAGCTTTCTGTATTATATGTTTCTTAACGAATGAAATGGCTATTTCTGGCATGTCTGCATGTTATGGAATCAATATCGTAGCATATTAATCAATGTTAACCAACTATGCTGAATCAAATTGTTACCCAAAGAATTGACATTAAATTGAGAGGGTCTTAAAAACACCTGTGATCCTCGACCTATAAACTATACCAGCAGATCCATCACAGCCCATCAAAGATGAGGCAGAAGTTTCAGGAGGTTTCATGGGTTAAGATGATGTGAAACAGACACTTGAGATGAACCAGTTTAGATCTAAAGCTCTCTAATAATTAAATTGAATTTTCTTCGGGGACTAATAAAGTTCTTATCTTATCTTCTTAATAAAACAAAATTAAAAAACAGAGTGGTTGCTGCATGTTTAGGAATCTGTATTAATAGCTGTTTGGATGGTAAAAAGTTGACAGATGGAGGATCAGACGAACATGCATCCTGGGAGGTCTTTATTCTAGAAGGATGCCATTACTTCCCTGACTGAAGGGGTGAGCAAGGGAGCATTATAATCCAGATTTATAACTGATGATGGAAAAATGACATGTTAATGCTTCAGATCAAACCAATACAGATGGAAAGGGCTGCTGCACCAAAGGAAAAGCCTTTTGATGCAGGAGTGTTTGTATCAGTTAAAGCATCACCTGTCATTGAAGTGTAAGGATGTTGAGGCAGCTGTTTGTCCCATCAGCTTGTCTGTGCTATAATGATGGATAGGCACAGCACAGTATAGAGGAACCCTGTAAAAACTATTGGATTATATAATGAAATGTGACTATATCACAGACCTTCATAAAGTAGAAACTCTTTCACTTTGGTTACCTCAACAATGTGTAGCTCCTCTGAAATAAGCCATTGCTCCCACTTAAGGCGCTCCTCTGAAAACAAGCCAGCCGCAGCAGTCTACCATCCCCAACATCTTTGTACGATTCAGATTTCATTACAAGCTCTTGCATCAGACCCCCTCACACACACACACACACAGAGACACACACACATTTGCTCACACTTTGGTCTCTGGCTGACCTTGTGTCCCAATATCTCTCCTGTTTTCTCTCAGCCTTATGAACCTGGTGATGACTGGTCAGAGCACATCAGCTCGTCTGGAAAGAAATACTATTACAACTGCAGGACGGAGGTGTCCCAGTGGGAGAAGCCCAAAGAATGGCTGGAAAGGTAACTATAGTTCTCTGTTTCAAATCACCTGATTACACATTCTTGTGTTAACCAGCATCATTTGTATGTGTAAATATAACAAAGGTGGGGTCCATACCTGATGTCTGTTTATTATACATGCTTGTGTTTCACAGAGAGCAGAGGCAAAAAGAGGCAACAAAGACAGCAGTCGTCAACAGTTTCCCCAAAGACAGGGACTACAGAAGGGAGGCTATGCAAGCATCGGCAGCCCCTGGCTTTACTAGTGCAAGTAAGTGTGACACACAATGATGCAACACATTATCCCAGAGAGGCTGCTGCAACTGATTCAGTGTCTGTCATGTCTATATTTTTATGCCTCTGTGCTGAAGACAGCTGTGACAGGAGGCTTTATTATTCTGGGTGGCCTGTCTCTCTTGGTCTTAAGAGTTTATTGTCATAGGGAAACCTCCGAGCATTTTTCTAGTTTGGCTCTCGGGCTCATGATTGAACCAGCTCCATTTTGGTGGTTTAAATTCAGAGTTACTGCCTGATTATTTCTTGTTTGTGACTGGAGTGAGTTTTATAACATTAGGGTGCATTAAAGCAAAGTAACTAAAGTTGAAATGAGGCTTTAGCATAAGAGCATAAGAAGACACTGTTGGCTTTTGGAGGATGAAAAAGGCTTAAACGGTCTTCCTGCATCAAGATGCTTGTTACTTTCAGCAAAGTTCATAACTTGCAGTTTTTGTGCAACTGTAGAGCTTTTAGTGGTACCACCTGGTGTTACCATCCTGCTACAGGAGTTGAGCTCGGTGGTTGTAGTGTTTGTGGCTGTGAGCTACAGATCTTGAAGTCTTCTTAGTCAAACCGGTGCTTAGATGCGGGATAAAGACCTGAAGGAGGAGTCTGTATCCTAGCAACGGTATGATGGAGAACATCACACAGAACTTCAGCCATTGCCTCAGGTGGGATGTAAAGAAGTATTGTTACGATATGACTAAACTCCCTTGGAACATAATATGGCCAAAGAGCAACTACCAACAGTTCAATATGGACAACACAAATAGTCATCAGGGTTTTTCCTGGCTCAAATTGAGGCAGAGGTGGCACCATCCTGACCATGCGCCACGACGTGCATGTATTTGTAAATTCAACCGATTCACTTTCTTTTACAGGCAACATACTTTAAGTTAAGAGTTCAAAAAAGAGTGTGACCATTATCATGTTAAAGCATTAATTTATTAAAACTATATACATACACAAATCAGCTGGCAACTTTAAATTGAAAGTACACTTCATCCACACATCTCGCAACCAGACAGAACATTTCAGCCTCCTCTTTTTCATTCTGTAGAACCTCCTCATGCACCCCTTGTAGTCCAAGGCCTCCTGGTCTGGTCCATCAACGGCCACCTTACAACAGACATCCAAGTGCCTCTCCTTCAGTCTGTTCCACAGAGGTGTCTTCACCTTAAACAAAACAATTCATCATGCATTAAGTATTTTTGTTTTTATTCTGATACAGACATGAAGAGTGATAGTGTTTTCAATCATATATTATATATATGTATACGCTGCAGTGTCCTCCCTAAAAAAAAAAACGACAACCAATTATTTCTTAAACTATCTAAACTATGTTATTTTATTTTTTGTAACTTTATTAGTTGAGTGTTTTTAGGTACTACAATCTTTAATATATTTCTCCTTCTCTTCTGCTGCTTTGTGAATGGCTGTCACCTCATGTCTTTTTAATGTGTCCAGCCTGTAGTTGGTTGATGGCTGTCTCACTAAGGAGGCAGCAATTACCTGCTGTGTTGGGGCACAGTGCTTTTGGCATAAATAGCAGTGCATGCCTTCCTCAGTATGCCTGAGCCAGGTAAAATGATTGAGCCATTGCTTGTCAAAGCCACTGGCTCTGTGTTTTTGAGAAGATCTGGAAAGAGGAATAAAAACCACGTACACGTCGGCTTTGCGTTGTTATGCTCCTAATTGGAAACTAATTAATTAATTACCCTCGCCTCGCCGACTCGTCCTGTCCTGCATTCTGACCCTCGCGATCACCAGTCCCTTGTGGAGTACTTTTAGACCTGACACAAATTTCCACGTTGTCACCAACATGAATTATAGCATTTTAACTGTCTGTTACGTTTTTTCTCTGCTGTGTTTCACCTGGACTCTTGACTTTCCTCCTCGCGAGGTCGCTTTTTAAAGTACTGGCTGATTTTGCCTGTCATAACTGCAACGCTAAAAACGGAGTAAACTTTTTTTTTTTAAATAAACACGACATGCTTGGATGCCAAAAAGAGAAGCAGTATTTACCTGTTTGTACCATCCGCCAGGGAAAATCAGGACGCCGACAGCACCAACTAGCGGGAAAAAAACTTGAAAAAGCATGATTCGATCCGTTTCTTCTTCGGTAGATGCTTCAGGTCTTTCCGGTGCACTGCTGTTGATATAGCGCCTCTATAGTGGCGCAACCCTGCAACTGCAGTTAAAATACGTTGCTGCTGCAGAGGGACATCAATCGCTCAATCAACACAGCTGGAGCTTTACGCTGTGTTGAGCGAAATCAATCGCTCTGGCTGGGGGCGGCACAAAATTAGGTGGAGGCGGCCGCCACGCAATTTTGAACGCAGGAAAAACCCTGGTCATTGACAGTAATGTGTGAATGTGGATGTGTTCTAATTAGCGCTGGGCGATGTGGAAAAAAATGTATATCACGATATGGATCATTTTATATCACGATAACGATATACCACGATATAGCTATGGTATGCTTTCAGTTCTATGAAAAATTAAAGTGTATACAGCTGCCCTTGTACAGTGCCAGTACAAGACCAGCACTTAAAAGTAGAAAAATGAAGAAATAAATACGTGGCTGAAGTGCGTTCATGTTCAAGATAAAATGCTCCTAAACTGATGTCAGGACCACTGTCAAAGGGTGAGATGATGTAAGGTTAAAGCTGTAAAAGATTTAGTTCCACGGTAAGAAAATCATCTGAAGTTTGGAGATTATACAAATTGTGATTCAAAGATTTTAATGTTTAATTGTAAATAGGGACATAAAAAACTCTGCATTTATTTGGTGTAAATTTCTGTTTATTTTATATCACAACATAGTGATAAATCAAGTAATCAGTCAACCCATCAATGGTATTTTGTAATAATCAACATTATATCAGCATCAGCCCTCACAGATCTTCCACTGATCTGATCGGCAGTGACATTAAATCAAACAAAAAACAGTAGCTGGCTCGTGTAAAATTCTGTCACAATGTTTTAAATAACGCCGCTCGTTCTGCTTCTGACAGAAATGCCTTGCTCTTAAATCTATAGCAGAACCCAAGTCATTATCTCGGCAATGTTACTTGCTAAGATAACCATGTTAATTTCATTTTAACATGTTTGGAAAAATGGATTTATACATCACTGTCTGTTTTATTTTAACCAATGATCAGCAACACTGATGGTTGCTATAACATGAAGCCGAACGCTGTTAACCAACAGTGAAATATGACAGTGTGCTTGAAGTGGCAGTTTTATGATAATCCAGCTCATCAGGTGTCAATGCATAGCCACAGTTCACCTGGAGTTCACCTCCTCATTACGATGTTCACTGACAGCTCTCTGCAGAGCTCCTGTTGCCTCTGGCTTTTCATCCAACTCTCATCCAAATTTCTTATTTTGCTGCCGTTTCTGCCTCATCCATGAAATGGGCTTCATCAGTAAGCAAGGGGAACTTTTTTTTTCTTTTTCTGATGGGTGTCTGTGTTTTGCCTCTGTCATTTTGAAGGTCAAGTTAAGTTATTTGGGGGTTCATGTTTTCTATGATTGACACTTGATACAGCCTATGGGCGTATGAAGATTGCATAGCTCACCCAGGGGATACGCTGTTTGAGTGTCATCACAGTGACTCTCTGCGACTCTCCTGCCTAATGCGTTCAATGCTACTGCACAAGTGTTGAAGTTCATACAACACTACTGCGCAATATTGGTTCCAGGAAATGAATAAAGATCGCGGAAATACCGAGAGCTTTCGGTTTCAAATCTGTATACTAGCAGAAGGTGAAACAAAGTTGTCCATAGTTTATACAGTCTGTGGTTTCAACCAGTGATGATTGCTCTAAGACTGACTTAACTAGAGAAGTGTAGAGTGGGTTGTTCTGCTGCTCGAAACTGGACAGTCATTGGATAAATGCTGGGCTTTGTCGCTCAGCGTCTCTGGGGGTCTATGGGCAGGGGGCTGGCCTGGACGCTCGGCTTCTGCATGATGACTGGATGATCTGTCTGAGGCAGAATCCCTTTTTGATTGACAGCGAAATGAGCAAATCAGCGATCCTAAAGTATAAGAGAGCATTTTCCAAGTTTATCATTCTTCCATTGTTCTAAACTGATCCAGAGACTTTACCAATCCCCAGAAACTTTGTCTTTGTTAAAAACAACTAGCGTTGTGTTTGGCAACTCTCTTCTGTTAGGACAGGGTCACAGATTATTTTCTTAAAAAGGAACGGAGGATAGAATTTACATAGAAATAAACAAACACATTTATCATGTAGGCCGGGGAAAAAATGAGCTTTCCCTCCTTGAAAGACCAGCAACCGCCACTGGTTTAACAAATGACCAACAAAGTGTTTTTAGTGTTGCACAGGAATCTTTCAGTAGAAGCTCCTTCAGTGTGATGTTGACATTACTATTAAAAATAGGAATGGGCAGAATTAATCAATGATCAGTTCATTGATTTTTAAGAAGTATGTTGATCACGGGAAATTTCAATTGATCCGAGGTTATTTAAAAGGGGCTGATAGCGTGCATCCATTCAGCTGCTTTCCAGCAAAGATGAACAATGAGGAAAAACCCAGTTTTTTGTATATTTTCTGCCATTCACGAAAAAAAAAACTGATCAAATCAATGATTGATCGTTAATTTATATGGTTAATCGACCGAGGGACTGTCTTAAAATGCCCATTACTAATAAAAAGTTTGTCGGTTTTTTTTTTTCAAAAGCAGGAGTTTCCACAGGTCTGGTCTCAACCATCTCCAGATGTTCTTGCAGATAGTTTGCCAACTTGTTGATCAGTATAATGAAGTTGAAGCTGATGTTCTCTAAGTCTCTTGTATTCAAACCATGCTATTATCATATTATCATAATACGCCCGCGCTTATCATTTAAACTAACAATGTTTCTAACAGTAAAAAAAAAAGAACTCCACAATAACACTCAAAAGTGATTTGGTAGTCTTAGAAGCAAACATACTGCCATAGAAACTCAGCAGAGATTTCATTCTGTTACATTTACAATCATGTAAAACATAACAGTGAATCCTTTTAAGCTATTTGGCAGTTACCTTGAATATCACCTCAGGTGCAGCTGCATCATATTGATGTAATAAAACAACTGCAGTCAAAGCAGGATATTTTTACTATGTCAGGGCGCTCCTCATTTAAACTTACTCCTACGCAAGTGAGCTATCAATGACGGTGTAATTTATCATGACTAACCCGTTTCTACATACCTGTCAACAACTCTGAAAACGCTCCCTCATACACAGACCTGATGTTTGTATTATCATCTGGCACAATTGTGTTCATGAATGACCGCTGTAGAAAAGTTCAAACAAAGAACGAACCAAGTGTTAAGTCTGGTTCTAGAGTTGATTTTTCTAGTTGCAGATTTTGTCTCTCAGTTCAGACTGTTTCAGCAGGAGCTGCTGTACTGAGGAAATTAAAGCTGGAGTCTAAAAGAAGCAAACCACACTCAGGACAGAGGTTGTGGTCCTTTGTAGGAGTGTTAAGATTAATCTGAATCAAATGCAGGTTTTCAGAGTTTAAGATCCAGGTGCACCTGTCTGCAGCACCTGGATCAGTAAACATGCCAAAGATAGCCAGGTTTCAAAGTTACTATCTGAGCTCTTGCTGTGCGAGTTTCAATCTCGAGGGACTTTGACGTTGACATTTAACCTTCTGGTTTGGATTTACTGTTCCGCACTTTAGAAATCAAGTCATATGGACTTAATTTGAAGGATAGAAAACTCAGTCCTTCTTCCTGTGCGCTCTGTGAAAAAAGACGTGTGTGAATGCATGCATCAACACATGAAGCACTAATATTCAACCCTTTGCCTGAGATTATCACGACACCTAAAGCCTGTTTGATTATGAAGGTTTACAAGCTTACAGGGATGTTTGGAGGTATGCTCTGTGGTTAATTGGTGAAATTGGAGTGAGAAGGTATCAGGCAGTTGTCAGGGTTTCTAAATGAAGGCAAAGCAGCAAAAACTACAAAAGTTTCTAAATGTGAAATTAAATAATTCAAACCCACTTGTAGAGTTGTTATCATCGTAACAGTAGTAACAGCGTTGCTCTTCTGTAGGGCTGCAGCTATCAAATATTTTAGTAATCCAGTGTTCAACCAATTATCTTTTTTTCTCTTTCGTCATCGCTTTTTGTGTTTCCCTCTTCTTTTCCCCTCTCATTAATTATTTTTTCCACTCCGCAAAACCAAAACAGCACTTAATCCTCCTTCTACCTTGGTGACGAAAGTCCGTTGTGTCACCTTGAAAATAATCTGTGCGAAACAGTGACGATTTGAGGTTATACACGAGTACTCGAGGCAGAGAAAAATCCTCAATCATTTTTTGTAATTGAGGTACCCAAGGAATCGTTTCAGCCCTACTCCTCTGACTAACCTGACTCAGTGAGCTCTGTCTTAGAGTGTTTGTTTTTATGTACTTTTGATGGCTTTCATTCGTGTGTTCTGGAAAGTCTAGTCCTTGTTGAAGGGTCTAACAGGGTCCTGCAAAGATCTGCAGAGAGGCCAAGGTCTCTGTGATAGTCATGATTGGCTTTCATGTTTCTCACCTGGCATTAGATTGTACAAAGGGTCTATTCTTTTGTCTCTTGGAGGATTGTATATCTGATGAAAAAGAAGTCACCTCTCCCTTTCTGCTGTCCACAGAGTCCGCCCAGGTGGAGAAACCTGCAGCCACCCAGTCCCAGTCCTCGTCCTCAGGCTCAGGGAGCTTAAACCCTTCGTCAGGGCCTCCTGGATCATCTGCCTCCACAGTGCCCGTGTCCCCAGTCCTGCAGTCCCCTGCCCCTCCTCTGCTCCAGGACCCCACCCTGTTGCGCCAGCTCCTCCCTGCACTTCAGACTGCCCTGCAACTCAACAACGCCAGCGTGGACATGGCGAAAATCAACGAGGGTGAGGAAAAAGCTGAAGATACACTGTCAACACTCATCAGGTTCACATTCAGCTAGCTGTGTTGGTTATTTGATTGGTCTGGAGTCTGACTAGTCAGGGACATAGACATGTAAACTCTCCTGTCAGCCTGAGTGCAGGAGTCTCCTGTTGTTCCTTGGTCTCAGTGTTGCTGTCTGGAGTAAGACTGCCTCTTGTGTTGGTCTCATTGATGGTGGGATGAGGAGCTTTATCGGATCCCCTGTCCTGAGATCTCCTGTCTTAAGAATTGAGGCAAAAAGCCCAAAAGTAAATCTTGAAAAAATAAAAAACAAATACACCTGCTGTGTTCCTCCCTGGCATTTGACAGACTGATCACCACCTACTGGACTGGCTTGCTTATGAGCACTTTCAACTGTTTCTGCTTTGTCATGCAGAGAAGTATTCAGATCACTGGTGGGGATAGTATTTGTTTTGAAAATTAGGTATATACATCAGGGTCTGAAAATATCCACATCTGTGTGGACAAAGCCTTGGTGGTTAAACAAGGAAACGCTTAGTCCACGTAGATCAGTCAGTGTAATCCTTCACCTTTGTTTTTGTCTAGGATTTATAATCAGAGTTACAGCATGACACGTTTCAAACTGTTGATCAGGTTTTTACTCCTAGAAGTCTCCTCTCCAAAGTGACTGAGGGTGTCTGAGGGGTTAAAACTCTGACTGAAGCCTTTTTAACTTAAATATGTGTTCCTTCAGCACTCGGCTTTAGGAACTACTCATCTATTGTTGGAGAAAATTGATGATGTTCCTTAAAAACTCCCAGTGTAGTCTTCTTGAACGCTTTAATGACACCCCATACTGCTCACAGTCAGCACTCAGTAACAACCTGATGCACCTTCCAGGTAAAAGGTAGGTCTGTGGTGGAGGTTGAAGTAAGAAGTTGCAGCACTACACTGACTTCTGCTTCTTTTTCTCAAATAGTCCTATCGAATCCAGAAGACATACACTGTTGCCAGTCTGACTGTTGTATGATCATACTGTCTCCTGCAGCTCAGTCCTTTTTAAAGGTGGAGCAGGACCTCCATCTCTGTAACCCTCTTCATCAGGAGGAAACAGGAGAATCCAGCTCGGCTAAATCCACTATTTCATTATTGTTACTGTGTTCATAAGTTGTCAGTCTGAGCATTCCGCAGTTTGTGAACATGTCTTCCTCACTAATGCTAGCTTACCTTTGACTTAAGGGGTTTCAGCTGCAGTTAATGCTTCCAGGCTTTAAGCAGACACTTCTCCAGCTGATCTGTGTTTGAACTGTGTATGACTGTCCATGAATGGCTGGTCTTGCTTATGTTTGTATAAACGAAAAACAAAGAGGACTACTGTAGGGTTGGCATGTTGAGACAAAGATCTGCAGGGCAAGAAGTTTGAATCAGGTTAATTGAAACATATTATCTCATGACTGTTTGGTCTTGTTTTCTGTGACTGACTGACAAGAGCAGTCACAGAGCTTCACTTCTCCAGAGCTCTGAGACAGTCTGGTAACCGGTACCTGTGAATGCTGAGTCTGCATTTACAGGGTTTCTCCTGCATGTCTAAGTTAGAGGTGGCTGCCTCAGCCTTATTTTCATACTGCTGCAGGTCCCCGTCAGTATTGATGAGTGTTTTCATGAGGACCACAGTATGTAAAGGACAGCACCCCATCAATCTTGTCATTCGCACTTGCAGTTAGTGCATTATGCCAGTGTATTTGTGTGGTGTGGAGAGAGGAATGCAGGGAGAGCAGTAGGAGGGGAGAGAAGCTGGAGAAGGAGAGAGGAGAGCAGGGAGAGGAGCAGGTGTGTGTTTCCCTAAGTCTGTGGGGTAGAGGGCTATAGTGGCTGTGGAGATCAGGGGTCTGTGGGTGCTGATGAGTTATTTACTGCAAGGCAGCAAGTGACTTTGATCCTTGTAGTTGTCAAAGTGAAGTAAGAGTCTTGTCGTCATGGAGTTGAAAGCTTGAAAAGGTTGAGGGATGTATTGGATCAGCAGCCTGTGGAAAAATGTCGTTTCTGTGTGATGGAAGAGCTATAGATCCTTTAGTTTTTAATGACATTGTAAAACTACTTATCTACAACTGAAGGTCTGACATTCAGTTTCATAAATATTATTATAAACAAGAAGTCGGTGCTCAAAACGAAGAATTTATGCAGTCAATGTTTGCAATTTTTTAATTCATGTATATTGGGAGTTCAACTTAAACTTATTACCACAACTTTTCACTGAGGCAGAACCACAGAGACAAAGGTCAGAGTTCATACTAATAGTGGGGTCAACAGGTTACAGTCAGGGTCATGAAAACAGCTCTGTTATGTTTTTATCCAATCACTCATAACTCTGTAAGGTGAGAGACTGTAACACAGGAGTTGCTGGTCTCTGTCACTCTTAAATAAACATCTCCAGACCAACATATGAATGATAAGGCTGAAAATCTGGTGAAGACATTTATCATTTAGATAAAGTCAGTTCTCTTTCAAAATAAAAGCATGGGCTCATGAGAAACTGGTTTATGAAAACAAACCAGTCCACAACAAAATACTGTTAGACACCCAGAGTCTACTGTGCCGGGGACCTCCAGACAGTTGTCTATTTTGAATGACGCTGCTGTGAATTCACATATTAGCACTGTGTCATATTAATGCAGCTTTTACGGCCTCTCATTGTTGAAAACAGTCTCTAATGTGAGGTTCTCTGTTCTTTGACACAGTAACTAATGTTTCTAAAATATGCCATATGTAGCAGCATGCTGGTGTGTTTTGATAACGTCCTGACTCTAAACTCATGTGAAGTTGGTGACTGTTAGAAATGATACCGCCTGTGTGCTGAAAACCGCTGCTCGTTTCTGCAGGGCAGCTGTTCAGCAAGTGCAGCCTCTCTGTCAGCAGCACCTTGAATCTGTGCTGGTTAATGCTGTGAGTGAGCTGAGGAGTGCATTTGTTTTCTTTTTGAAAAGTTCCTGAAACAAAGCTGATCTGAACCCTAATGTAAAAACAGACCTTACATATCTTAGCGTCACATTTTTTTGCTGACTTTTATAGTTTTACCTAATCAGATGGCCTGTTCATCTTCCACCACACAGATCAGTATTTACATTTGAGTAGTTGGTTGACCACATTTTAATAACACAGGAGAATAAATGAAGGGAAAAAAACATGCTTCCATATGTGATCTCTCTTCATGTTGTCTCTGTACCAGTTCTTTCCGGGAAACTGCTTACATTCAGAGTTCTGTTTCAGTTTGTTTGGTTCAGGTTCTGATTCTGGATCCCTTTATCGATTCCCCCTCTGCGATAAATAAAGTTCTTCTTATCTTCAGTTAACACCAACTTAACACCAACTCAATGGAACTGAACACCAACTTGATTTGACACCAACTTAATTTATCCATTTCCACTTTGTTTTCTGAGGAAGGAAGTAAATGTTAAGTTTCTCCTACCACAGCCAGAACCAAAACTTCTTCAAGTGGATATTTCTGTCTGGATCACAGGACTCAATGTGACTCTGAACCCACAGTTACACCAGGATTTTTAATGTCAGTGCACACTCTTACAGTATCTCATATATTGACACATCTTTTTGTTTCTGTCCAGTTCTCACAGCTGCTGTCACACAAGCTTCATTACAGTCGATGCTCCATAAGATCCTCACTGCTGGACCGTCGGCTTTTAATATCACTACTATCCTCTCTCAAGCTGCTCAGCTCTCCAACCAAGGTAACCCACACCAACCAAGAAAGATGTTTTTTATTCCTCTGTATGATAGTTCAGTGAGTGAGAACCATGAAGTCTGGCTTCTCTAATCAAAGTGCTGCCATGGTCCTGCAGAAAATACACTCTTATGATTGTCCTCTGCAGATTGTTTGATTTCTAAGATGGTGTCTTTGTGTTTCTGAACCTCAAGCAGCTCAGCAATCCAACCAGTCACCCATGTCGTTAACATCAGACGCCTCATCGCCCAGGTCTTATGTTTCCCCGAGGATCAGCACACCACAGACCAATGCCGGCCCCCTCAAACCCCTCCTCAGCACGCAGCCCGTCATCTCACAGCACAAAGTAAGTGAGAATGTGTTCAACAAGTTTATACTGAGCTCTGAGAAGCAGAGTGAAGGCCAGCTGGACAAGGTTTTGGACAAGAGTTCACTGGAAACAATCTGTCGAATGGGGGGAAAAAAAACACTTGGCATGTATGAGCTGGAAGATTTTTTCCAGTGAAGATTTGAGTTTTTCTTTTTCTCATGCAATTTTCAGACACAAAGCAAAATGAACACAAATACAAAGAGAAGATTCTCCATAGTGGTTTGTATTTATAACGGGATACAGATACTGTAATCATCAACATCCTACAGACCAGTCCAAATAAAGTGACCTCCTGCCACCAGCATCTTTCAAGTGGGAAGGACCTCTGTCATGCTGCTCAGTGCAGAATTTCAAGCACCAACATGACCCCCTGGTAGTGATGCACGATATGAAAAATTTCAACCGATACCGATAACCGATAATTTTCTTCTTCTCATGGCCGATACCGATACCGATAACCGATAAATTCATATTTTTACATTTATTATAATCTTCATATAATCTGCAGTTTGTGCAGGATGCAGCGATTGAAAACTGATATTTTTGTTACTCTGGCCTATCTAGAACAACATACAAAAGTTTTTGGCTCTTCAAATGTGGTCATTTGCTATAAATAACAATAACAGAGCAAAAAGCAGAACTTCATTTGATCCCCTGAACTGTTCAACAGAACTGTAAACTGTAAAGGAGCCATTATGAGCCGTCCATATGTCTGTGGTAAAACTCACGTGTAGTCCGTTCTTGTCGATCAGGTTGTGAATGTATGTGGCGACAATATCATAGAGTGCAGGAAGAGACACATCCGAGAAGAAGCGGCGGCTTGGGAGAGTGTAACGTGGCTCCAAGTGTGCTATTAACTTACGTAAACCCGGGTTCTCAACGACGGAAAAAGGCTGGTCGTCGACCGCTATGAACTCCATCACTTTGTCGTTAATGGCTTTAGCCTTTTCGCTGTCTCTTGAGAAGCTTTTGCAGTTCTTAAACGCCTGCTGAATGGGGACATCGATCCTCCGTAGTGTTGTTGTCTTAGCTTTAGTACCGCTAGCAGCTTCGGCGGCTGTCTCATATTCTTTTACTACCGCTTCGCCGCGATGGCGACTTCTCAGATGAGCTATCAGATTCGTTGTGTTAAAACTTGACGTCTTCTTTCCTCCTCTCGGAATCCTCGCTGAACAGGTTTTGCATGTAGCAATGCTGTTGTCATCTTCTGCCACTGAGAGAAACGACCATGCTGGTGAAGACATTTTATTATCTGTCAGGTAGTGACAGGGGTCAGGCTAGGGACCTGCGAGTAAGGCGCGATAGATGACATAACCAGCGCGTCTCGGACGGGCGGCTACTCCGCCTGCAAACGTTACTCGTAATTTAATTAATATATCGGATCTTTCTATCGGAAAAATGCACCTATCGGACCGATAAAAAATGACGTAATTTCCCCCCAAATCGGCCGATATTTTATCGGTCCGATAAATATCGTGCATCCCTACCCCCTGGGCTGTTCCTTGTATTTTATTTTCTCCTTTAAAAGCTTCATTGATGTTTGGATCAAGAGCTGAAGGTTATGCTGGAACGTTTAATAGTGGATTTGTAATAATCATTCCTCCTTCCTATGTTGGAGAAGACAGTAACACAGTGCTGTTCCAGTTAGCTTGTTAGCACTAAACTAACCAATCACATCACATCACTCACTCACTCATTCTTGACCGAGTGGTCAGGATTCAAGTCTTTTCAGTGAAGATTTGGCTCATGGTGTGAGATTGTAGTTTCTGTCCATATTGATGAAATGATGAATGTGGGAATGAGCAGGTCAGAGTAATAGACTGCATCTTTGTGCTGCAGTGCAGCTTAAAGCTCCTTTATGGTGTCTTTGGGGTGGGAGACTGACAGACAATAATACTGATGTCTAGGGTTGGGTATCGAGTATCGATGGGGACCGGGACTAACATTTCGATTCTTCCGGTATCGTTCAAATATTAAAATTTCGATTCCAAGTTTTGATGCAGGAGTCTGCCGACCGGAAGAAATAGCCGCCGAAAATCCACGAAGAAGAAGCCGCTTAACACCAACGAGGACGGAGCATATGAGACGAAGCCACACAGAAAGTAAAGAGAAACAGAGAGGGAGAAAGTACATTGCAACCCACAGCAATGCAGCCACTGTGGGTTACAATGCGCTCTCTCTCTGTCTCTCTCCTCTCTCTGTGTGTGGCTTCGTCTCATACGCTCCGTCCTGGTGTTCGGCAGCTTCTTCTTCGTTGGTCAAAAGTTTGGCTAACTTTAGCAGGAAGAATGAACTTTTATCTCAATGCAACATTAGCAATACAGTTATATCATGCAAAGGAGGGTAAACGACCAACATGATTAAACGCCTCAGGATTCATGGAGGAGAAATAGTGCTCGTCTTTGATGGCTTCGCCGGTGTTGTGCCATAGAATGCACCCCTGCCGTAGAATGCACCCCTGACAGGAGCGCGGTTGAAAGTACATAACAAGGTGAAACAATCCAAGTTTTCCTTACCGTTGGACAGAATCTAAAGCGTGTGCCTTTAATGATTTCATTCAGGCTTTTCAGATAAGCCGAAAACAACAGCCATCTGATTCGGAATATTTACAGTCCTGAAAATATAATGTTTTCTACCTTAACAGCTTACTGTAGAGTTTATATACCCAAGTACACCTCTATGTGTGCATTTTTGAGACACATAAAAACAAAACGAAAGTTTACTGCTCCATTTGACATGTTTTCATGATCTAATACTTGTGTTTTTTTATATATGAGATCATTGCCTTCCACTTTAAGAAGCTAATGAGTGGAGGGGATGCATTCTACGGCAGGGGTGCATTCTACAGCACAACACCTGTCTTCCGCTAACCAGTCAGGATCAGATAAGTGAAACAATAAATTACTTCTGTCCTCTGCTAACTTTGAAGCGGCAAACAAATTGAACTGTGTACGGTGAGTAAACTTAAATATCCAACTAACGTTAGCCCTTGTAAGTTTTCATAGACAAACGACCTGACAACAAAAATTGATATTTATATACTGGTTAAAAATAGCCCTGTGAGAAATTCATTGTAAAGTTCTTATGATGTAAAGTTAATATGATTTAAAAATTCATGGAGAAGTTCCGAAATTTCATCCAAAAAGAAGAGCTCCGGTTAGTGCCCTCATTCAAACCATGCTTTTTTTTAAATATATATATATATCCTGCCTTTTAAAAGAATCGATAGGAATCGGAATCGAAATGAGGAATCGAAATCGGAATCGGAATCGTTCAAAATCAAACGATAACCAACCCTACTGATGTCAAACCATCAGCAATTAAATAGATTATTTTTATCTGCAATGATTTTTAAAGCCAAAGTGATCATATGTTGTTTCTGTTGTTAAAAGAGTGTCTGTTGGTGGATGGCTTGGTAAAGTGATTTTAGGGTCAGGTGGTTTATACTCTGATCCATTCAGGTGGACTGGCTTTGACTCCGTCTCTCTTACTTTATTCAGGTGAGCACGCCGTCGGTGAAGCAGGCGTCTCATCCCCAGCCCACCTCCCAGCAGCCCCTCTCCAGTGACAAGCAGCACAGTCACGATGCCACCACGGCTTCTCCACGCACCCTCCAACGCCAAGGGTACGTACAGCAACAGGTTAAAAGATTGGCTCATCAGTGGGTCTGCTGTGGTCGCTCTGAAGTGTCACCTAAATATTGATTGAAATATGAGTCCAGTTAGAAAAGTTAATGACATCATCATTGTGCTTCTCTGTCAGCTCTTTATCACCAGAGTGAAACTGTGTGAGATCAAGTATTTCAGCTCATTCACATCCACTCATGAATGGTTTTGACCTCCATAACAAGTGGATTCTGACTGCTCAGTCTTTCAGTGTGTTGTGTCGTAGCACCATCTGCTGGTCACTGATGGAACAATGAAAGCTCTGACTGTGGTTGTGTCTGGATTCATTCACTTAGTTGGTTCTGAGGAGTGGGTATTATTCAGTAATATTATCATGTTTATTTTGATGGAGTCTCCCCTAAAAGCCTTTTTAAACGTTTTTGGCATGGCGTCTGTATATGAAGACACAAATATTTTAGAAGGCAAAGCCAAATCTGCACTTTTGAATCAGTTTCACAGTCAGTCGTTTGGTCGGGCAGGGCTTGAGACTGCAACCAAAATGGTCACATATGCGACATTTTTTTCAGCACCAGCTCACTATGGTGTGACTGCATATGTTTCAATTCTCTCCACTAACACAGGCTATCAGACATTGTGGTTAAAAGTCACCCTCTTTTTTACTCGCAAAATCAATCTCCTCCACCTGCACTCTCTCCTGTTCTGGACAGTGAGCGCAATCCCATGCACATGCAGCACATTATGAGTACTATTACACACACCATAGACAGACAGAACTCAGGGAGTGCTACACCTTAGCTATTTCCACAAATGTAAAGTTCTATCGCGGTTTATTTTAATGAAGACAGAGTGGAGGAGGGTGGTAGTGAGGGTGCACCAGCAAAAGGTGCCAAATCAGATGGTACTGATTAGGGCTGCACGATATATCGTTTGAGCATCGTCATCGCAATGTACGTGTGTGCAATAGTCACATCGCAGAGCTTGCGATGTCGGAGGTGAATGAACTCATCTAATTTCAAGGGTAGCCGACTGAGATACACTGCATGTGACTCTGCATGTGCTTTGCAGCGATCCACCAATCACCTTCGTTCTTTACTCAGTTGCCAATCAGATTACCCTGACAGCTGTCAATCAAAATCAGAGAGGAGGAAACCCACCCCTGTACATGTCCTGCACACGGAGTGAGTCGCTTGCGCTACTGCAGTTGAGCCGATAAACGCGTGTCTGCTGAGAATTACTTTCCAAACATTACTCATCACTGTTTAGCCCAACAAATAAGAACTGTATGGGTTTTAAATTGTACATTTCCGTGGACCACTCTACTATAAGCGGTGCGCGTTTTGTGAGGTGCATGCAATTCTCGGAGGACATGCGTTTCTCAGCACAACCCCGATAACAACAACAACGATCGCAAACTGAGCAACAAACAGAGAAAACCACAGAAGATGACTTGTTGCCAAAAAGAAAAGAAAAGTCAGTTATCTGGAATTATTTCAGTTAAAAGAAGGATGATGTCAACCCAAAACACGTGCTCTGTGTTCATCTGTTTCCACAATAACGTCCCAGCACAATAAAAGCTAAAAATATCTCTGAGACAGACAAAAGCCACTCTACAAACATTCACAAAAAGAGGTAAGATCAGTGCAGGTTAACTGTCCTCAGGATTTCAGCAGTGCAGCATAACATTAAGTGCTGTTCAGGTCATCTGTTGAAAATTCCTGTAGTTTTTAATATTGCAATATCGCAGGGTTGAAAAAAATCGCAATGTTAGTTTTTTCCAATATCGTGCAGCCTTAGTACTGATGATAAAAAAGACAAGGGGGCACCGGCACTTGGGTAAAGTCAAAAAGATATTCATAGATTCAGAGTTTCCGTGCCAATAACTCATCAATCAAACAATGTAGTTACAAATCCGACCCCTGATTTTAATTATTGTCATGAAGACTACAAGCTAAAGTGTAGGTTACCGCTGGTGTCAGAAACGTGGTGCTCGTCGGAGCTCGACTCCCTCTGGATCGTAAATGTTGATCATCAGTTGGATTGTTTCTTGAGAAACCACAAAAACTCTCTGAATGGCCCACAGATGCATCCACTGATAAACCTGCAGTTGACCAGTTCCAGACACTTGCACAAAAGCAGCTTTATGACTTTATTTACCGAAATGTGCAGCTGTGCAGCACCACACAAAGAATTCTCGGGATTCCAAGGCCACGAAGTGTGCATAAATGCATGCTTGAAAAAGGGGCAGGATCAGGGTGGGTTTGGGACCGCATTTTAAGCACGCTCAGAATCGCAAGCCAAATGGGACAGCCTTAGCGCTGTGTGATGATATCACGCAGTGTTATAACTGCCCTTGCAGCATGCAGACCCTAACTTGAGACACAGCCAGTATATGCTCCCACATATGGGTGCTGCGCCGCAGAGCACGCACGCACCAAGTATGTGCATTAGCAAGTTATAGTCAGTGATCACACAGCCGACTCATTACCGCAGTGGGGTGACACAGCTTAAGGAAGAACATTTATGATCATTTCTTCATGGAAATGCGATCAAACCGAGACGCTAAGGCAGAAGAACTACCGCGTCTGCAGTGCAAAATGATTATTAATGATTATTACTTCAAGGAAATGATAAAGAAATGATCATAAATGTTCTTCCTTGCGCTGCATCACCCCACTGCAGTAATGGACTGGCCTGAGGTCTGTACAAACAAGCAGCTGATGGAAGAGAGAGGGTGTTTGGTCTCTTCGTAAAGAAATTAGGCAAAGCTAAAAAGATGTTTGATGGCTAGTGCTATGGCTGGGACCCTATATGTACTGTTGATGAAGTTAGGTGATGTTCTGAGCATTATTTGTGGCTATAGAGTGGCGTTTTGGCTGAGCGTGTGGCTTCTGGGACTGCTGTGTATTGCTATGAGGTCATTACTAAAGTTGGTTTAACTAGAGAAGCAAGCGGCCGGCAACATTCATCTCTCGGCAGGGTGTCTAACTTGGTGTTGTGGTGTGTTTGACCCTACCTTAATTTTACGCCAGAATATTCCTTTAATGTCTGTGGTGATAGACAGGATAAAGAAGCAATGTTGTTACCTGCCTTCATTCGTCACTAAAACCAACAACAGACTGGTGTTCCTAGCCAAAAGTTTGGAGAGGGCAAATTACAGGGAGGTCGGCTGAAGAAGTAAAGCACTTTGTGGCCAATCCTTTTTGTTTTTAAAAAAAGGGGTTTTGAAAACCTTAAGAGGGTCTTATGTTTTTTGGTTGTTATTAGTGTTTTTTTTTTCTTGCATGTTGCAAGTTTTGCAGGAGTGCATGTAGATTGGGGAATTATTTCTATTTATTGTTTTTATTGCTATCATTATTTAAATTTACTATTGTTATTCTTTCTATTTTTTACTTGTTACTAATTTATCTTTGTTTATCTTTCCTTATAAGTTAGGTTTAAAGTTAAGTTTTGTTGGTTTAATGAATACTCCAGTTTTAAAAACAATGAATAATTGTGTTTATAAATCTTGATTTTGATATCAGTCCAAATAATTGTGATTATTATTTCTGCCATAATTGTCCAGCCCTAACTACCAGTGGAAATGTTTGTGTAAAGCCCTGTCAGGAGTTTGACAACGAGTAGGAAATCAGTAAGAGGTTTGATAGAGACTAAGCTGCAGACCCATTACCTCATGAGTACTCAGTGATCCTGTGTAGCAGGTATCACACCATCTTGTCCTGCTGCTGTGTTTGTTTTTGGACCTTCTGAGTATGAGCTGGAGTCCTCTGGAAGAAGCAGTGCTGACTCTGGCCTGCTGCATTCATCTGGTTATGTTGCAGGTACCTGCTTAGAGTATTATTCAAAGTGAATCTCGTGATTCTCAGAGATGGAGTAAGCGTTATGCTGTGTTGTCTTCCGTTTAAAAACTAAAGTCAAGTCTCAAGGTAGTAGGTGTTTTTGTTTGCAGTGGGTCAGGGTGGATTACTGTTGGGTCTGTCCGTGCTGATAAACGTCCTCTTCTTGTGTGTGTTTGCAGCAGTCAGAGGAGTCCCTCTCCAGGTCCCAACCACGTCGCCTCCAGCAGCAGCAACAGCGCCTCAAACTCCACCTCCGCCCCTCCCTCTGGCGCTGCAGCCCGACCCTCCTGCTCCTTCACCCCAACCCTCGCTGCTCACTTCAATGAGAATCTCATCAAACATGTACAGGGATGGCCTGCTGAACACGCAGAGAAACAGGTTTGTCCTGCTCTAATCTATCTGAACTTCTCTCTTGTTTGAATCATGAACTTCATTAGAACTCCTTTAATTCAAACTCTGTTTGAAAAAGGCGTCGAGGCTACGTGAAGAGGCTCACACCATGGGGAGCATCTGTATGTCGGAGAACTGCACCGAGCTGAAGAACCTGCGGTCGTTGGTCAGAGTCTGTGAAATACAAGCGACATTACGTGAGCAGAGGTGAGAACACCCATTCAGACTAGCACTGTTTTTTTCACATATGACCCAGTCACCCTCGGGTCCAACTCATGTTCTGAATTTACTGAAGATATTTACTGAAATAAGCAAACCTGTCACAGTCAGCCGGCTCCGATTGATCAGTGGGATGGAGGCTTTTGTTGTACAGCCAGAAAGTGGTACCATTATGCAGACAGGTGAGGTTGGACCGACTACCCTCAGGCAGGGCTCGACAGTGCGACCATTTCACTTGCATTTGCGTCTAAAAATAGATGTGTGCAAATTGTAAAATGTATTTAGGGCACATGTGCGTGTAGAAAGAAGTAGCTGAGGCAAAAAAAGTTTTGTTTTTTTTTAATGTGAATACCCCAGTGAAGTTAGTTTTAGTTTGGATATCTGACGGAACTTCACTGCAGATCTACCGGTGTCTTTCCATAACCGGGAATAACAGCAGCAGCGTGGTTAAATCTACTCAACACCCTCGCTGTCAACGTCAGATGTTGAATAAGGGACCATCAATAAATGACTGGTTGATGTTCTCAGGAAAGGCTGTTTTACTATTGGCATTCAGGGGGTCAAAATCATCACCAAGGAATGAATAGTATAAAATAGGGGTGTGAATCTCAGCACTGAGGACGATTCGATACGCATCTCGATGCACTGCCAGTGATACGATACTTTAACGATACATGGAATTTTCTGGCGATACGATTCACCCTCTTCACGATGCGATACGATACGATAATCATTTAGTTCAAATCAATGCGATCCGATACGATATGATGCAATTTGTTGCGATATGATGCAATTCAACATGATGCAAATAAGCAAAGAAAAAAAAGAAATAAAAATAAAAGATGGAATTCAGTATGGTACTACAAAAATGATTTGGCTTTATTCCTTAAAGGCACTTGGCAGTAAATTCAACAAAAGTGCTTTTTGTCTTTTTTCTATGCTCCTTTGGGTTCCATTTTGTACAGATACACAGATTAGACAGACCTCCTGCAACTGTTAAGGAATCTGAATCAATAAAATAAAAAAAAAAAAAAAAAAAAAAAGGATTCCAATCCCAACCCTACATCACACAAGTGCTCTATACTTGTTGGGTAATATTACAGTACACATTATTAAACAACTAATGCACTGCCTAACATGGTGCAAATAAACCATTCAATGGCCATACTACTGTCTGCCAAACCAATGTGCTAGAGTAACTGGCCACTGAAAATCAGTGATTTGAGTGAGTTCTGCAGTAATAAAAGAGTAAAACAATTACACAATAATTACTGTTGTAAAAAGTACAGTAAACAGCAACAACAAAACACTCTCAATGAGTAACCTAAAGTGACACTTTCAACAGTGCAATCAATGTTAAGGGAGGGGAGGTGGCGTTAGACTTGTCGGTGATGTGGTGTACTCTTTTTAAGTGGGTCTGCATGTTTGTCGTGCTGCCGTTGTATGGCTTCTTAACGCGGCATTCTTTGCAAATGACGGACGTTTTGTCGAGCTTTCCGTCTTTCTTTGCAAATCCGTAGTGTTTCCAAACATATGATTTAAACGTAGCGGGTGCATTACATATAAACTCTTCCTCGCTGCTGCTCACTTGAATGTGATCCATGCTGTTTTACTAGTAGTGCATTGTATGTCCCTCACGGCTTCCGTCCTTATTCATTACAAAACGCGAAATAATGATGGTGCATTCAATGCGCCTGGGGAACAGCAGATGGGGTGAAGTTTAACATGAATAAAACGGCGCTTGCATCGGCTTTTACCGATACCCACCAACGCATCTAGATGAATCTAGATTTAACCCGTCAATTGCATCGATACCCAGTGAATGAGCCGATTTCAGGGCACAAAAAGGGATGTGGAACAGTGGTTAAAAAGAGGGTTGTGGATCTGTCATGGTTGTGGATCTGCTGGGCTCTCCAGCCCCGTGACCAATTGACCTAAAATTGATTTCAAATAATTGTACTTATGTCGACCAATAAGACACACATTATTGGATCAATTTTCATTGTGCCCCTAAAGTTCACAAGGTGCTCCTCACTTTTTCAACTGAGGAGCACCTTGTGAAAAAAGTTAGTGACAAACCCTGCCCTCAGGTGAATTCTCTTCACTAAGGAGTGACAGATATATCCTACAGGATCAACAGTAGGACAAACACTGAGTTCAAGCTCATAGGCACCTCCTAAGTGTGTTATGTGTTATAACATGGAAACAAACGTACTACATGATAGAGGTGTGTCCTTTTATTGTGAAGCTGTCTCCTATCCTTCGAACTCATTGATCCAAGATGAAGCTCTGCTGCTGAGAGCACAGAAAACTGTTTTTAATGGAGCAGTGAAAGTTCAACTATGACACCAAAAGCAGTGGCAGATAGATTTCAAAAGCACATGGTTTATCTGTACACTCACTGAGAAACTCCTCAGCTTTAGAGGTTATTTATGACTGACCTCAGATCTGCAGGCAGCTCCTGAGAGAAGGGCTGCACTTACTCAAGGCTTTTCACCAGTCTGGGGTCTGATCCAGACTCTCACCTGAGGGGCTGGACCGGGTTAAAGTCTGTGAGCAGGTCAGAATCAAACTGAGGAGCTAAAGAGCGTCATAACTATAACTGCTCTCTCTCTCTCTCTCTCTCTCTCTCTCTGTCTGTCTCTGTCTCTGTCTCTGTCTCTGTCTCTGTCTCTCTCTCTCTCTCTCTCTCTCTCTCTCTCTCTCTCTCTCTCTCTCTCTGTCTCTGTCTCTGTCTCTGTCTCTCTCTCTCTCTGTCTCTCCCTCTCCGTCTCTCACTCTCTTTTCAGGATACTGTTTCTCAGACAGCAAATCAAAGAACTAGAAAAGCTGAAGAACCAGAACTCGTTCATGGTCTGAGGACTTCTAGCAGAGACGGCACCGGTGATGGTGACGAGGAGGAAGACTCATTGCACAGAGTTGACGCTGGAGGGAGAGCAGCTGTTCAGATCCTCTTGAGCCCAGTCTTAACACACTCTCAGAGGCTGCAGGCGGGTTGGTTTGGACCGTCTGGGCTGCGAGATCCAAGAGGGAGACGTGGAGAGCTGCTGTGGGGAGTAAGAGGGAGAGGGGGAGCCTGGGTGGTTTTACAAGACTCGGTTTTGTAAAAAAGAAAACCACAGCGGAATAAAATGTAGATTTCGTGTAGATGTTATTATCTATGTTGTAAATATATTTTGTAGATTGAAGCCATGGAAAGCCATGCCTATCAGAGCTTTGACATCCAAACTAATCAGCGCCTAGGCGGCTACGTTCATTAGCTAGCCTTCCTTCATGTTAACTCGTCTGCAGACTTTGAGCTTCATTCAGTCACAGATCACTGACCTCTCTGAGCGTGTGCGAGTCTGTGAGACCTGCACGTGGAGGGAGGAGGATGTTTGAGGCGTGTCCTGATACACAAACCTTCAGAAATCATCACACACTGGTTCTTCTCAGCCCATAAGACTGAGTGAAGCTCCTCCTCCTGCGACCTCTTTATTACTGGGGGAACCAACGTCCCCTCTCTGTGGGTGTGGCAGTTCCGCTCCGAGGTTCAGTGATCTCTGAGCAGCTTCTGGTGGCCCTGCATGTCCCAGTCTGAAAAAACAGTGCCTGCTGGTGTGATGGAGTGAATGAGTGAGAGATAGGAGGTGTGATGGCGTGCTGCTTTGGACCATTCCCACCGCCCTCCACGGCCTCGGCTCGGCCCGCCCTGCCATACCTGGAACCATCAACAGTTCCCGCGTCCTGATGCTTTTTGTTCTCTTTTTCCCTCCTGGTTCATTCCTTTGTACAGTCGCTAACAAACGGTGGAGTTTGGAGAAGAGGACAGAGTAAAGGTTTTATTTATAAGAGTTGTAGTGCTGAGCAGTAAATCACACGTTTTTAGGAGTGGCGTTAGTGAGCGGATGTTTGTGGATCACCTGTTTGTGTCGGAGCAGGGCGGCAGAGGTCACAGGTCAAATGTGAAATGTATGTATTGTAATAAACATGTTCAACTAAAGCGAGCACTGGTTATTTCATTGGTTGGTTCAAACGCTAGTGCCTTGTTGAAAGTCTTAAACCTGGTTTAACGCCGTCTCTGAGCCTGTTTGGAAAGACCTTCAGTCTGGTTTTTGTTTCCAGCCATCTTATCTATAATCCTCCTGCCGTTGAAGAGCTCCAGGGTCCTGAGCTTTTGGATTCTCAGCTGCAGACAGGCCTGAGCTGCTGGGTCCTTAGCTGCTGGGTCCTGGGCTGCACACGGGCCTGTGTTTTCCCTGTTCTGTCTCTGAGTCTGTAACTGAACAGCTTCACTCTCAGTAAAGGTGACCACATCATTGCTTTGTATATTGTTTCCTGAAGTATATTGACAAACGAAATAAAATATGCCTCTCCAGGACCATGTTGTTCTTGGGTTTTTGATAGACCCTTCAGCTTGAATTAAAACAACAAATCAAATGTTTGGGATATTTTTTACCCTAAATATGTATTTTATTAGCAACTGAGAAGGAGCAAAAATTTTGAATTAAAGTTTGCAAATCAGCCTCCTTTGGTTCCCCAACAAAGTATCTGCAGAAATTTAAAGGTTAACTGCAAAATGATGAATGTCCAAATAATCAGGGCAAGAATAAGAGAACATGTTTGCAGGATTCTCAGATATCAATTTACAGGAACAGGAAGATTATTACTTTTTAATTCTCTGAAGATCTAGAACAGATGTGAAATTCCAACCTTGGTTATCAGGAAAATAAACCTGCGCCTTTACTGTGGCCCAGAAGGTCAACCACACAAACATTTATCAGATATCATGTAGGAAATGTGAAAATAATTTTATATGTTCAAAATAGTTTTACTTTTGCTGGACCTTTGGGGAATACTCTGGTTAATTTTTAACACTTAGATTTACTTTAAACTATTCCACAGATAATCTTTGACACTAACACAGAAAACCTTGTTTTATAGTTTTTAATCCAAAATCTATTTTTCCTGCTGCCACTCTTTAAAGTTTGTCTGCAGGTATAAATATTAACAGCTTCCTGCCCCCTGCTGGTGTCATGAGGTCCTGCACTGCAGTCTGTGGAGCTCAGAGCTGCACAGAGGATTGTTATCAGATCAGAGGGTTTATCTTCTGGTATGTCCTGCGCTTGTCTCGACTCGCTAAAACCTCCTTTTCTTCTACTTTCACAGAAAAACAGTCTGAATTGACGGTTTAGTTTGAGACCTGCTCCATGTTTAACATCATTTTGAGGTCAGCCAAAGGTCTGACATAGAGTAAAGACTAAAACAACCTAAATACAGCCATTCAAACAGTTTTTAAATTTGCATGTTTTCATTGTCGCTGTTGGTGCAAACTTCAGGAAAGGAATAAAACAAAGAACCAAAACATTTATAATGATGTTCTCTGTCTTTATGTGGCATTTCTGCAGGAGGCTATGAAACAACTTCCTGATTCAGAGTGATCATTAAAAAATCAAGGTATTCAGTCTGACTTTCAGAAGGTCACTTAAGCTCAATAAATCAGTGCTGATACTAAGTTAATAGAAAAAGTGTCTGATGAGGGAGGACTGTTTAAATGAAGTGTGCAGCAGAGAAAGAGCTAAAGCCAAAATGGAAATAGTTGTTAAATAAAACTAGAATGGAAATGATTTAGCCAGTTAACTTGTTTAACTGAATAACCCAGTAAAAAGCCTGAAAGTTTAAATGTAAATTTAAGATATTTTAATTTTGTCATCTCTGTAAAATAAGCCGAAGAAATGCAGTGGCTGTTCAATCTCCTACTGACAGGGGGCGCTACAGTGAGTTTGTTTGGGTATGAAATGTAGAACAGATTCACACAACGTTTCAGTTGCTTCTTTGTATCATGAAATGTTTTTGTCAGAGATGTGAAATCTTAAAAATTGTGATATTTTATTAAATTCAGAGACAGGTTCTCAGTATAATGTTACTGTAATGATCCTTTCAGGGATACACAAACAGCAGCTACAGTCACTATCAAAAGCTCTCATCCTGACCCTGAACAGTAAAACAGTGAGGCAACACACAGACACACCAAACTGAAATTAATTACCAACAAAAAAAAAAAAAGTTTGAAAAGTTCAAATGTAACAAAGATGTCTGAATTTATATAAGATTCATCTAATGAGTGAAATACTAGTAGAGCCCTTATTTACATCTTTCACTTATTAGTTCAATCCAGCTTAATCTAGTTTAACTCTGTGCTTTTTTAGGTTATGGTCATGGATGCTAAGATATGCTCATGCCTTTAGTGTTACTGTTCCTTTTTTTTTTTTTTTTCACTGTTCTTTTTTATTTAGAAAATTTTGCATTTTTCCTGTTTTTTTCCATTTTCTTTGTTTTTTTTTGGCTTCAAGCTTCTTCTGAGTTTCTTCGGGAACAGCTGATACAGTTTTTTCTCTGTGGATATAAGAGGACTCTGAACCACAGTCAGGAGAGCACTGATGACTGAAGAGACCAACAAACTAATGCTAAGGGTGCTGAGGAGTCCAAGAGAGCAGCCGAGGTGCCTTTAGAACAAAAACAGAGCAGATGTTTAATGATCTCATTCATTAGAGAATCACAAAAGCACTAAAAATGCAAAGAATCCGCACAAAAGCTGCTTTGAACCTCAAAATATCTCCTTGTGAAAACTGACACACCGTCCCCGAGTATTCACTGTATAAGTTTCAGCTTCTGCAGCATAATCTGAGTGTGTGGTTGAGTCCAAACAAACACATTTGAGATGAAACCAGCATGCTTATTTATAATACACTTTCTTGAATGGATTTTTTTCAGTTCACCTCTTCAGCGTCTTTTTTTTTTTACCTCAAACTTGTCTTTAGTTTTATTTCAACAGATAAAAACCTTAAGCAGGTTCATGTTTGGCTGTCTCTCTATGCTTTTGTTCCTCTCAGCTCTCTGGTTAGTTGACACTCTGAATAAAAACTGCCGTGCACTTTAAAACCTCTCTGTGCATGTAAGTGAAGACCATTAAAGAGTTCCTGTCCAAGTCCAGATTTCATCCAAAGATCAGACTGAAGTTTCCTCTCTGCTGAGGCTGAACTGTGACTTCAGAGGCCAGCTGATGAGTACAGTCTGCAGATGATCAAACACTCATTATCTCAGCACTCATCTCTGTGTGGATAAGAGAACAGAGAGCTGCTGAAGAGTCCCTCTACAGGAACCAGGAGAAACAAAGGTGGATGCTGTCAGTTTCCGTCTCTGAGCACTCCAGATCAACTCTGCATGAATGCGGCTGAAACTCAATCTGGAACATCAAAGCTGCACGTCTACAGGCGGAGTGGTCGGTCTGAAGCCGAGGCTGAGAGAGCTCCATTATCTGCAGCAGAATAAAACAGATCAGCAGCTCGGAGACAGTCTGCCTGTCTCTGCTGCTTCACAGGCCTCCATACGGCTCACATCAAAGAGAGTCCAGGAAGCTGAGAGGTGTCAGAGGAAGTCTGTCTACCCCTCACAGCATCCTCGTGGGTCTCCATGTGTCGTACAAGAGAGGGGGAGGGGGGGCTTCACATTTCTGCATAAAAAGAACATTTTGATCTCACTTCAGGAGCTTTTTTTTCAGCTGTTACTCATCTCAGAGCTTATAGACCTGTAGACCAGACCTCCAACCCCCTCCGTCGGTCTCAGCAGACACTCAGCTATCGTTGGTCAAGCGCTGTGGGCTCTTTTGTTAAGCTAAGTCCTCTTATCTGCCCAAGGTCACACCTACAAGTACCTCCTAATGTGTGAAATCACACACAACCTGTGGGGTGTAAACGCTCCCTGAAAGACCTGGCATCTGAACCTCCTCAGCTCTGAGCCCAGAATTTAACGCTCATCCTCTCAGCAGGAAAAGACTCACTGCTTTACAAACTCAAACCCATCCTGATCCTCAGTTTGATCAGCAAGAACTAAAGAGGATGAGACACAATTAAAGGACTATCCTGCAGATCTTTATAAATGAAGTTCTGCATATTGAAGGGATATTCCGGCGTAAAATTAAGTTAGGGTCAAACACACCGTAACACCGAGTTAGACACCCCCTGGAGAGATGAATGTTTCCGACTGCTTGCTTCTCTAGTTATACCAACTTTAGTAAAGACCGCATGATAGCAATACAGAGAGCCACGCGCTCAACCAAAAAGCCACTCTATAGCCACAAATAATGCTCAGAACAGCACCTAACTTCATCAACAGTACATATAGGGTCTCAACCATAGTACTAGCCACCGAACATCTTTTTAGCTTTGCCTGATTTTTTAGCAAAGAGACTAAAAACAACTCAACTACTCTCTTCCAGCAGCCGCTTGCTTGTATGGAGACCTCAAGGCAAGTCCATCGACTGCAGTGGGGTGACGCAGTTCAAGGAAGAACATTTATGATCATTTCCTCATGGAAATGCAATCAGGCCGAGAAGCTAAGGCAGAAGAACTACCACATCTGCAGTGCACAATGATTAATATGGGGATTATTACTTAAAGGAAATGATAAAGAAATTATCATAAATTCCTTGAGCTGCGTCACCCCACTGCAGTCGATGGACTTGCCTGGATGTCTCCATACAAAAAAGTGGCCGCTGGAAGAGAGTAGGTAAGTTGTGTTTAGTCTCTTTGCTAAAGAAATCAGGCAAAGCTAAAAAGATGTTCGGTGTCTAGTACTATGGCTGGGACCCTATATGTACTGCTGATGAAGTTAGGTGCTGCTCTGAGCATTATTTGTGGCTATAGAGTGGCTTTTTGGTTGAGCGTGTTGCTCTCTGTAATGCTATTGTGCAGTTGTTACTAAAGCTGGTATGACTAGGGCAGCAAGCGGTTGGCCACATTCATCTCTCGGGGGGTGTCTAACTCGGTGTTACGGTGTGTTTGACCCTAACTTAATTTTACGCCGGAATATCCCTTCAATATGCAGAACTTCATTTATAAAGATCTGCAGGATAGTCCTTTAATTGTGTCTCAATATCCCTGTAAGAGAGGCTTTGACTGATGGCTTTGATGGTTTTCAGTCTGAGGAATAGTCCTCAAAGTAGTTACTGTCGCACCAAAGAGGATCATTTCTGTTTGTCTTGTATGAGTACCAAAATAATGGATCCATGACCACTTCAGGCTTCTGTGGGTTCACTGTCAATAAAGGATTGAAAACATACCGCTGGTATCCACCAGATGGCGGTATTTACATGGAAATGACCCACAGAGGCGCTGTAGGGGCAGTTTGGGACTGACAGGGGTCGGACCTGACACTTGATGGATCTAAATAACTCCCAGAAATGTGTTAAACTCCGTGGTTGACTGCTGATAATAATAATGAGGGGAAACATCAGAGTAACCCGAGACACAGACATACGTGCAGTACCACACAAACGGAAACAGCCGATTTCTCCCGGTTCTGACCCAGAATTGAAGGGTTTTTCTCAGGACTCGTGGCCTTTGCAGCCCTCAGCAGTCTGCAGATAAAGGCTGTAACTGCTGTCGTGGCCTGGCGCCTCAGTGGAATTATGGATAATTAGGGTAATTGTAGAGAGGAGTTTCTCCGCTCCCTAAAGCGCTCCGTGTCCTCAGTCTCGTGCTGCCTGTGAGTCTGAGAGGACTTCAGAGGAGACCCGCTCCTCCACGATGATGACCCCTCTCAGGACAGGAGACCCTGTCACAGCAGAGTCTCTGGACACTCATAGAAGAGTTCAAACTTGTATTTTAGTCACTTTTTTTAGATCACTTAGCTACGTGGTTATTGAAACACTCTTAAAGAAATAGTCCGTGTTTTCTCACTTGGTTATGTTTGAGTCTGGTATAAACAGAGCTGTGGCCGATACTGATCGCGCGTGCACGTGTTATTTTGCATTACCTATTGTTAAAGGCATTGTGTCCGTGCGCGCACGTGTTTGTGTGTCGTCTCTGTGGCGCCATGCTCCTCTTTGGGTTGCTAATTTTCTCTAAACGCCTGTCTGTGTCCTCCTCCCTGCAGCAGAAACAGCCTGTCAGCCTGAAGGGAGGAGGCTCAGAGACAGACAGACGCAAACACACACATACACGCGTACATAAGCGCGCGCGCACACACACACACGCACACGCACACACACACACACACACACACACACACACACACACACACACACACACACACGCTCACACAGGCTGCAGGTCAGGGAGCAGCAGGAACATCCTCTGCTTCTGTTGTAACTGCAGGGACATGACAGGGACCCTAAGGTAGATGAATACATGCAGTTGAGCCTAACAGCCTTTTTACTCCGAGTCTGAAAAGACAAAGAGGCAGTTTACTTAAGAGCTCACCTTAAAAAAATTCACAAACACACATGTATACACAACACATGTACATAAAAAATACATAGCCTACAAATAGACCTACATAGAGTACGGTTATATCTAAATGGATAGGCTATTGAATCACAGACCTATCTGGCACATTTAAAATGTCTATTCATCTTATATTTTGTTTCGCTTCCAGCCCAAGAGACTCTCTCAGTGACAATAAAATGAAATTAAAACTGAATGAAAAGCTTTTCATGACGTGACTCAACCAAGAAGTCTCAGAATAACAGAGTAAACCGGAAAACACCACATACCAAAATAAAAGCTGGCGACTTCAGGTGCGTACGATCGGCTGTCAAAAGAGTTGACAGCCGTTAAAATTGTCGGAGCAATTTTGCTTTAATAAAAGCTGCCAGTGTATGGAGGCTTATATTGTACACACAGCCACGCATTTGACTAAATCTGTTTTCCTGTTATTAGTCATCTCTGCTCACGTGAATGTATTTGTCTGTCTGAAGGTTCCAGGGCTAGTCTAAGGATTCATGTCAGTCTATTATCTTAACTGGTTTACCGATGGTCTTGGAGTTATGTTTGATATCAGATTCAGGGCCTGTGTCTATGGACAGGTTTTTCTGTATTAACAGAGCCCACAGCTTCAGATTCAGGCAGTGTTTATGTTGCTTAGTCACTAAAGTATTCCTGCTGCACTTCCATCTTAAAAAACATAAAGTCTGTTTTTAAAACTTTGTTTGCTTCATACTGACTTTGATTTCCAAGTTTTTTACAAAGAAAATCACAAGTGCTGCAGGTCCAGAAATATGTTTGCAATGGACACAGGCCCTCATGTATGTACACTGAGATGATGAAGCCTAGTTTCATTATAACAAATGGATCTTTTGCTATCCTGAGAAATGTTGTGTGTAGTCTGTATACCTTCATGTAAGATCCTGCATGTTTTTCATTGTAATTCGAAGTTTCGCTGCAGAGAACAGTGCTCTGTAAAATGATTTTAAAATATATCTATCATGTAATTATTGCCCACGACAGGACATTTAAAATATTCTCAAGTTTTCTCTCTCTTAGTTTGAAAGGTGCACCGGAAATAGTGTTGGTTCGTATTCCATTGCACAGCTCGCTGAATGTTGTGTCCAATCAGCGCTGAGGGGGCGGAGCTCTGACGGACCACAGCTATTTCTCCTGTTAAACTCAAAGCTCGCTGCAGTCTGAGCTTCGGAGGACTTCTTCGAACTTTTTACACTTTTCTCCGTCCAGGAAGCGAAAATTATGCTTCACGGTGACCGTCCGAGTCCAGGGGCAGAGGAGGACTGTTCGTGACCGCTTTACAGCTGATTTCGCCCTATTTTGAGGAGTATAAACCACTTTTTTTCCCTCCTGTAAGAAGAAGGAGGAGGACGCGGAGCTGTGGTGCTGCTGTAATGTCGGAGCGGCTCTAAATCTCCTCATTTCTGTCTCCATGAGGGAGAGGAGACCCTGAGGACTCCTTTTCTCTGATGTTTGTGTCCTAAAGGAGGATTATCTGCCGTGTTTGGAGCAGGATGGCGGTGTTTTAGCTCCATGTGAGCTCCGTGCGTCTCTGCAGAGCCCCTCGGATCCACAGATCTGTATCAGCAGGATTTGGCTGCTCTCCGCTGTAAATGGATCGACAATCCAGTTTCATTTCTCTGTGGCTTCAGCTGGAACTCTGTGCCATGGCTGTGCTCCTTACCAAAGGTCATTATACTGTGGACATGTCTTTGACCGGCTTCATATCACACTGACAAAACGATTTAATGTGGGGGGGGGAAATGTAATGTAAGAGTGTAACTGTGGTCCTTCGACTGAACATCACCAACATTTCAGATTTGTCTCTCTAATACTCTTCTTTTGGACTAAAATACAAAAATAACAGACAGATCATCGACACTAACGGACTTACCTGTAACTTTGAACAACTTAACTTTTTATCACAGAATGATGATCGCGTTAATTTTCTTCGTCTGAAACCTCTAATCAGTATTTTCAACATTAAGGAGTTAATATCTGAAAAAAAAAATTCTTAGGATCAAAAGTTTCTACAGCCAAAAATAATAATTAAAAATATTTGTAAAAGCATCAAACTTTTGACATGAGGAAAAGCTTACCTGGTCCCTCCTCTTTTTGTTGATGTTGAGACTTTAATGTAACTGTTGGATGTTTTACATTAATGTTTAAATTTAAGCCCTCCTCTCTGATAGTTTATCACCTTCAAATGATTCCAGGTTAAATATAATTATATCATAATAACTTATCTTAACCGAACTGTCCTTTAATACAAACATAAGTGTATTATAAACTAAAGGTTGATATGATCCCGACATTAGCCTCACGAATTAAGTAGAGCTCTCTTCTGTAACTCGTACATCTTCAAGTTTTTCTTCAATTTTAACCCAGCAGCGGTGAAATAGTCAAATCAAGCTCAGTATAGAGAGTGTAATTTGTTTTATTTCAATATATTGCAGGGTTTATTCAGTACAATAATATTCTCCACCTTTCAGTGCAACAACTCCATCTCTCTGATTTTATAGGTTAATTAAATATTAACCATAAACTTTTCTCTTTTTGGTAAACGAAAGATTTAACTGTAGTGCAGTCTGGATTTTAAAGAAACTGCGAAAAATAAAAACAAGGAACATAAAAAAAGGTTTAAAAGCAAATTAGAAATAGCTTTTTAGATTTACTACAAAGATGAAGAATGTCAAATAAGCTCAATGAAAAAAGTTTTCCTTTTTACCTTGTTTTCTTACATTTTACTTATTTTTATCCTGTTAACTCATTTTCGTATATCAGCAGTCCGAATTTTGATTTACGTCCCCGCTATAATTTAAACCAATTTTACCTGTATTTATCCATATCTTCATTGTTGATAATCTGAAGTGTTTACAGCCATCATTTTTACGGTTTTTCCACATTTAACTATTACTTTACTTACTATCACTTTGAATTATTAGTGACTCTTTGTGTTGCTGTGATTTTAGATCAAACTCCAAACTTGAACTCAGTGCTCCTCAAACTCTGAGCCGCCTCTGCTGCAGGTTTCACTTCAATAACTCGACTTTAACTCAGTTTCAAGCTGCCATTCATAGAGACCTCAGCAGGGCTAAAGAGCCTCCCTCCTATGCCTCCCCTCCCTCCTCCCTTCCTCCCTCGGCCCACAAAGGGGCCTCTCCTCTCTAATGAAATATTCTCCAAATGACCTGCCCGAGCCCTGCTGCTCCAATCATTCAGAGGGAAAACACTGATCTGATGAATGTGCTCCTGCTCTGCATGTCGGTGCGTTCAAAGGACGTTACTGCTGAGAGGAAAAAGTTTGGAGCTCAGAGTTTGGAGCTGAAAGTGCTTATTTTTAGCACAGCTCCTGAATGCAGCACATGGAGCCTTCAACCTCTGAAAATTTTCCACCATATTTATAGAGTTTTATCCAGTAATTCCTTGTTTTCTGCAGAATAGTCAGCAGTCATTCATAGATTTATAGATGTTTCAGTAAAGTTTTTCTAAAGATCCAGAAGATGGAAAAACCCTGTAAAAGCAGAGTCCTGTTGGTGTGTCTGTGCAGCAGCTCTTTGGCCACATCTCTGAGCTCTGAAATAGAAGCTGTGGATGCAGTAATGAGTGGGCCTGTGTCGGAGCAGGGAGCGTAATGATAAGGTAGCAGGAAGCTCTTTAGATGAGACCTCACGGCCCCCCTCCACCCCCCTCCAGGCTCTCGTCCTGACCACAAGTAAAGCTTTGCGTGCAAACCCGGCGGGGAGAGGAGACTCCTGCGCGGCGCCCCAGCCCCCTCCCCCTCTTTACGAGTTTCCTATTGGGTTGAAAGAAATTGACTTTGGCAAACAAACCACTAATTATAAGCTCCACGGTTCCTGTTTTATGAAACTAAAAACAAAAAGGAGCTTTTAGCATGAGGAGCTGTGGAGTGGAGGAACTTTAGAGGAGGAGGAGGATTCCCATGAGCCCTTTAGGGTCACCTGTTTACTGCAGAGTCTTAATGTGCAAACACAGGGAGGGCCACAGCCACTGTGAGCGTCATCATACATAAAGCTCAGAGAGATTTATCATCACTGTGATTATAACTCTGACCCATTTACCTTCTACACAGACCCCCATGATCCTACAGGTCCAGACCCCTCACTGTTCAACTACCCTGTTTGCTCTGAATGTGTCTCTGCAGACCATCTCACTCTGGCTTTTTGTCCCTCTGAATTCAGGAGAAATCAGGTGTTACTGTGACGCGCCGCACTGCGTAGCCACCGGGTACATGTGCAAATCAGAACTGAACGCCTGCTTCACCAAGGTCCTGGACCCGCTGAGTGCAAACTCCCCCCTCACCCACGGCTGTTTGGACCCCATCACCAATGCAGCAGACGTCTGCAGCAGCAGCTCCAGGGTCTCTGACGTCCTGGGCGGGGCCTCGGCAGCCGCAACGCTGGAATGTTGTCACGACGACATGTGCAACTACAGAGGCCTGCACGACTTGGCTCACACCAGAGACTCAGCAGGTAAGAGGAGGAGGCTGATGGCAGAGGCCGTCAGGATGTTTGTTCTTGATCAAAACATGAATCTGTAAAAATGAAGCGACTCTCTGGGGAGATTTTTACGATTCCTCCTCAGCAAATATTCAATATTTCCCTCCTTCCTGCTCCAGCAGCAGAACGTGGAGCTGCAGGGCTCCTCAAACACTTCTGCTGTTTATGGACATGCTGGCCACCCCCCGCCCCCCCCTCACTGGCTTTACTGAACTCCACTTTGACTTTAATGGGCTCCAGCTCTGCCTGGAAAGGCAGCAGCAGCCAGTTTACCTAAAGCACTTGGACAGAGATCAGATATATTCCCTCTTTTTATTATGTGTGCAGCATGTAATTTTCCCACTGAGGAGGAATGTGCCTGCAGAGCCAGTGTCCCTGACAGGCTGCATGTTGGGCTGTAGGAGCTGAGAGTGGTCCTAAAAGGACTCTGCTGACCCTGATGAAGCTTTATTAGCTCAGATTAATTTTCCGGGGACGAGGTGACTCATTTGTTTTCAGCTCTGCAGCCGTTTCTCACTTCCTCACTCTGGTCTGTGGGTCTTGTTTTCTCTCTGTGGTTACTGGCACGGCTGTTAACAAACTGTGAAAGTTTTTCAGAGACGTTTGTGTCCTTTCAAATAAGACTCCTGTCTACTTGAATTGGTGTGTTTTGGTGCAGTGGTTCATTCAAACTGGTGTTTTTCTCTGTGTGCAGATCACAGCCGGTACCCGCCAGACAGCAGCAACAGGAACCTGGTGACCCGAGTCCAGGAGCTGGCTTCAGCAAAGGAGGTGTGGTTCCGAGCGGCGGTGATCGCCGTCCCCATCGCCGGTGGCCTCATCCTGGTGCTGCTCATCATGCTGGCGCTGAGGATGCTGCGCAGTGAGAACAAGCGTCTACAGGATCAGCGGCAGCAGATGCTGTCACGGCTCCACTACAGCTTCCACGGCCACCACACCAAGAAGGGCCACGTGGCCAAGCTGGACCTGGAGTGTATGGTTCCTGTGACAGGACACGAGAACTGCTGCCTGACTTGTGATAAGATGAGGCAGGCGGACCTGGGGAATGAGAAGATCTTGTCTCTGGTGCACTGGGGGATGTACAGTGGACACGGGAAGTTGGAGTTTGTATGATTCCTGCTGAGAATCCACTCACAGCTGGACTGCCGCTCTGATGCTGGCTTTTGCTTTTTTACTTAAACAGCTGTTCCCTTTTCTTGTCCATCGGACTTCTGGGTCTGTGTTTTTAGAACCAGAGCAGAAACATTCGAGACCAATCTGATGCCGTGTGGTTTTTGCTGGAGGAGCACTTTACTTGAAAATGAGAGAGCAGAGCAGCAAGGAGCTGTATTTAAACTTGAGCGGGCAGACTGAGGTGGAGAGAGCTCCAGCACTGCTCAGGAGGATCCTGGACTTAAACACTGAAGGAGTCCAAATCTGTCTTATTTGCACATTTGTAAAAACAAAACTTTTGTTGTTGCTTCAACATGAATTTTACACTGACGCCAGGGTACAAAAAGAACTTGTTTGAGGAGTAAAAAAAGAAAATTCAGTGTTTGACTGTAGGTGGGCACACTCCTCTGTAAAAGTTTCATGATTCAAGTCTAATGTAAAGATTTAAATATATATATTTTTGTCTGATGAAAGTGGCCACAGTGTGTCTTGTTCTGGGTGAATGTCCAACATCTCTCTGTGATCAGACTATAAGCTTGATTGTGAGTGTGAAAGAAAAACTTCCATTAAAATGACTTTTTATTTATTTCACGATTGATCTTTCTGTTTTTACTCACAAATAAATGTGGCGTTTGAATACAGCCCTAATACCAGAGAGGATGGGACACTGGTTAAAAGGTTTAATGAGAACAGAGCTAGACAGATTCCAAACGATTTTTAGGTCAAAATTTCACTGAAAATAAGAGAAGACAAAATCAGACCGCAAATTAATGAGTTTTTGTTTGATGAAAAGTCTCTGCTCACTGTGACTTCAATGTCAAAAACAAAAAAATGGTTCCTCAGCTCTTCTTTCATCAACTCCCCGTAGACCTTAGTGAACCCAGTAGACCAGGTTTTTGAGTCTTGAAGTCAAATGTTATCGCATTCTCCCTGATAGAGGATTTCAGCTGCTCAACAGTTCAGGGTCTCCTTGGTCCTGTTTTTGGTGTCGTGATGCTCTAAATGTTTTCAATGGGGGACAAGTCAGGACTGCAGGCAGACCAGTTTCTCCGCAGCAGGACTCTTCTCCTACAGAGCCATGCTGTTGTAATCCCTGTTGTCAGAATGTGGTTTGTCATTGTCTTACTGAAATATAAAGGTCTTCCCTGAAAAAGTCTTTTGTTTGGATGTCAGCAGATGTTGCTCCTAAACCTGTAGATATAGTTCAGCATTAATGGAGCCTTCACAGATGTGGAAGATACCCATGACATGGACTCTGATGATCCCCATACCATCAGGGATGCTGGATTTGGACTGGGAGCTGAAAACAAGCAGGGTGGTCCCTCTACTCTTTAGAGAGGAGGATGTAGCGTCAATGATTTCTCCCAAAAACGTCAAATCTTGATTTATCAGCCAACAGGACAGTTTTTTTCTTCCCCTCAACCCACCTTAAATGGGCTCAGGTCCAGAGATGTTCTGGTGTTTCTGGATAAGGTTTCTATCTGGTCTCCCTTGTGCATTGTTCAGTTTGAACCTCATTTGTGGATGCAGTGATGAACTATGTTCACCGAAAACGTTTTTTTTTTTGAGCTCATGCGGTGATTTCCACTCCAGAGTCCTGTCTGTTTTTAAAGCAGTGCTGCCTGAGAGCCTAAGGTTCAGAATCATCCAGTCTTGGTTTTGGTCCTTGCCCTAATGTCCATAGATTTTCTGTTGGCAGGCTGTGCATACTTTTGAAAGTACAGTACTGTGTCAGCTTCTCTAACTAACTTGTTGCTGATGCTGTAAACTGGTTACTGGGGCCTTCAGGGTTCGTGTACAGGAGAGGAGACCATATTTATGAGACAACTAACATCAGGACATTGTCAGTTTCTGAAAGCTTTGAGGTCATGATGTGTCTGATTAAGGTTTGAGAATTCTGTTTCACAAAATGACATGTTTTTATTTAGATGATGGGTCTGTGGTTCAAGGAGCTAGGCTGGCTAACATTGGTGAAAGTGCAGCTTGTACAGCATGTTACCATCAGCCTCTTACGGGACCAAGTGAAGATATGGCATGAGCTAATCCAGATAGTTAACTGTGACATCCTCACCTTTGCTCCTCTGTGTATTTAATTACTGGACAATGTTCACTGATTCTGACTGAAGGTATTGCGTTAAGTGTTTTGATGACAGCTATGGTGGCCTGCAAGGACGAGAAGCTCCTGTGATGCATCATAAATATGTTAAATTTTTACCATTGAATACTAATCTCTACCTCGTCCTCAAACGGGTTTATTTTACACAGACACTCCTCAAGTGTAAAAAGTTAGATTTTAGTTTATTGATATTAAATTCCAATTCCTCCAAGTCTGCTCTGATAATTATGACCCACTGTACCTCAGAGTTCAGAGGGGAAATGATCCATAATGATAGGTTTGAATACTCTTTACTGTGAGGCCTCAGAGCCTCTGAATACACATTAATAGTAACTTTCACAATGAATGGGCTCATATCAGCTCTGCCGGGACACTGATATTCAGGGTCATTCAGCTCCATGTCGAACTGGACCAAAGAGTCCAGTCCGAGCATTTCACTGTGTCTGAATTCTTGTTGAATATGATCCAAACGGAAACAGTCTTTAGGGTATAAAACTCTAATCTGACAGTTTGTTTGAAGACTAGGGCCAGGTTTCTGAGGTGCTCAGTCCTCAGGAGTTTCTGAGGAGGAGAGGATTTTTTACATTTTTACCAGTCATGAAGGAGGCTGCAGTCACAGAGAAGGTTGGTGTCTGTGTATCATGTGACATTTGTATTTTATGGTGTGTATGTCACACAAAGTGAGACAGGGCTGCTCAGTTTAAAAAGTTCACAATCTGACCCCAGGTAACTATGGCAACCACAAATCAGACATCCTGAGTGGTTTAAAGTCCGGTGACCCAGGTTTTCTTTCCATTAGGAGGACAGCAAAACACTATTAGCAGCTAACCACTTAGCAGCAGCATGCATTAGAGGCTCAGGTCTTCCCCCAGGACTATTACCCCCCCCAACAATAACAATGTCCTCTACCCGGCCAGCCTAATGTGACTCATGTTTGCTTTAGCCTGACTACTCTGCAGACTCACCCAAGGGTGTCAGGTGACCCCAGGAGGTGAGGAAATCTCCACACTGCCCTCAGTTAGCAGCTGTTTCTGTACACTGCAGGAAAATACAGCACTAATGACAGTAAAGAAGCAATCAGGAGATTTCACTAGGTCATAACACTGAGACTTTAAGCCTCTCGACAAGTACAGGGAGCCTGCAAACCCAAGACTTTTGGAGACATTTGAAGACCTAAAGAATTCATAAATGAAAAGGTGAGATCAGAGTTTCAGGAGGGATACAGGGTAATGCTCTTGTCTGGAGGGGTTCAGGCAGGAAAAAAGTTTGAACATTAGTTTGGGACTGACCCAGACTACCACAGACTCCTCTTCAGGGTCTTTCAGGATATCCAGCTGTCACAACTCAGCCTCCACAAAAGCTGCATCCTGCAGTGGCTGCACGGTCATTAGCATGGGGCTTTCTGTGCAGCGCTGGGCGGTCAAGCTGCTTGTATTCACATGCAAATGTAATGAGGGTTTAACCAGCCTCCATCAATAGAGACACAATTTGTCCTTGAGCCACTTCAAGCTGACATCCACCAGTGGATTTGATTGGTCCAGGTTTCCAGCATGATTTCCTTCTTTAATATATCTGTTATCACTGAATATCATTATTGTTATTGTGTCTGCAGCAGTGAGCGCTCCCCGTCCTCAGGAGGGTGATGTTCCTGCAGCAGGAGTTTAAATATGTTTCCTCCACTTCTTAGACCGCAGACTCAGAGCTGGTACCCTCTGTGGCAGCAGCAGTAAACACACATGGACCCTGTTAACACCTGAGCACAGACATACATGCACACACACTTACACCTCCCTGAGAGGAACAGCAGCGTTTGATTCTGAAGCTATACTTCCCTCTTTGTCTTCAGACTTACTGAGCAGCTCACCCACACACACACACACACACACACACACACACACACACACACACACACACACACACACACACAGTTTGCTTCAATTTCTCTGTGATTAGTGAGCTGATCCTGGAGTCTCAATCACAGATATTTTTACATGTTGTTTCTAAATATGTAAGATAAAACCATGTCAGTGTCCTTAATTCCAATCACTTTCACTACAATCATCAACTGTTAACCAGCGTTCATTTTTAATCTATTTTTTTCTATTTTTTTATTTCTCACCACAAACTCTTAGCAGAGTTTAAATAACAACAACAACAATAATAATAATAATAATAATAATAATAATAATAATACATTTTATTTGTAGGTGCCTTTCAGAGCACTCAAGGACACCTTACAGAACAGTTAAAAGACACATCAGTAAAATAGTAAACTCAATATAAAACACATCAACACAACAAAGTTTGAAATAAAAAAGATGTAGGTCCAGATAAACCATAAATGAAGATTATGGTTCAGTGGATGAAGATTTGGTAGGTCAATGTTTTTAAAAACGGTTTTCTCAGGACAGTTTTGTTGGCTGTAACAGAAGTTGTAGATCAGTCTGAGTGTGAAATCATTATGGCCTACATCATCACCATCATCATCCCGTTGATACTCACAGACTGTTTACTGCTCCACCACCACAAATAAACAGAGACATTCCAGCAAATAAACAGGACCGGTCACTCCAGCAGACTAAAACAAGGAAATTTAACCAACCAATCAGGCCCTCTCTGTATGACAGACATCCGCTGAAGAGGACAAGGTCTAAATATTTGGTTAATTCATTTCCTTCCCCTGGATAAATCTGCGCTCTCACAGCATGTTTCGTATACCTCCCCCACCCATCTAAACATTTACCCCAGTGTGCTGTTAAGACTGAGATAGAAATCTACCCCAGAAGATGAATAATACTGTTGGGAATGTTTACAGGACCAGGCCGGCTTCAAGCGAGGCTACAACTGAGAGTCTGTAAATGTAAATGAAGATTTGACTGTTCCTGAAGGAGTCTCAGCAGAAGGAGCAGCTGTTTGAAAACATGAAAGCTTGGACTTACCCTCACTGATCAGCTGAGGGGTCCTGGACTGTTGGCAGCAGTTAAACCCTGACTCAGTTTTCATACATGTTTGCACTTTAGCAGAGCTGTGTTTGATGGCAGAAGTTGTTTCATTCATCCTTAGGACCAGAGCCTCAGTCACAACTTGAACTTTCTTCCTTTTAAATCACTTTTTTAAATGTTTTTACCACGATATGTTTGATCCTGATCAGGTTAGTTTGATTATTATTACCAGATCAGACTGCTCACTTAACCTAACCTCCTTCTCCCTTTCCACCTCCCCTTCCTTAAGGAGACTGAAATAACACTTCATTTGGAAGATGCTAAGCTAGTTAGCTTCACATAGTACTAACACCTTTGGGATAAAACTAAAGAATAAAGTTCAAACTCTTTATTTCACTTTTGATCCTGAATTTCTGATCAGTAAAGGAGAAAACTTGAATCCTCTAATAATCTGTGTTTATTTCTGTCTTCTGAGGTTTTTATCAGGTTCCTCAGGTCTAAACAGTGACCCCGGCCACACCTGGATGACTATTGACAGTAGCGTTTCTAAGAGGCCTTTTGATTGGACAGTCGGAGTGTTGGTAACCTGGGCTCAGCCATAGTAACCTGATGAGTGGTTAATAACATGACTCTGCAGCGGGGGGAGGGGCTCAAAGGTGTGGTCCTTCCTGAAGCTTGCGTGCTCACTAAGTCTGCTTATAATGACTCTCACAAAGCCGTGGGGTTGGCTGCCGTCCAGCAGGTCTTCCTGACAGAGAGAAGCCCAGGCTGGCAGCCTAGCCTTAGGACTGGAGGCTTTGCTGCCTGGGCCCAGCTCTGATGGGTGCTCTTTGTGAGGGAAGATCTCAGGGATTAGGGGCTGAAAGTAGAGACGCTCTCTGACAGCATCTATGTGACAGTAAAACCGCCACCAGAAGGTAGGAAGTGAAGAAACAACGTGTGGTCTCTGAGCTGGATCCTGTCTTTGTAGCTCTGCAGACTAGAGTTTACAGTCTGGTCCTGCACATATACAGGTGTTCCTGTTTGGTCCTGCAGACCTACACTGATTCTCTCTGTAGTGATCCTTTTTTGGTCAGTGGTCTCCTGATCAACCTCTGGTCTGGATTACAGTTTCAGCGTAGGCCTAAAAACAAACAGCTGGGGACCCTCATGTATTCTTCATCATTAACCTCCTAAGACCTGGCGTCCACATGTGTGGACATCACATTTTTGGTTGTCAAGACCACAATATTAAATTTTGGTCTACAAGTGCCTTCTCTCAAAATTTAAAACGAATGTCCTCATATGTGGACATCATTTTTCTCAGAAACTACATCATGTAAAAAGATCATTCTTTGTTTTTACACTCATCAGGTCCCAATTAGCCTAAATATCAAAGAGAAAATAAAAATGCATGCCTTGCAAGAGTTCGGGTCTTAGGAGGTTAAAGAGAAGATTTAATATTTCTACAGACGTGAAGAAAGTGATTACAGGAAAACCTGCTGATCATTTTATCATGTTTTAAACATGTCAGAACTGAGACGACCTGACTTCAACAGAGGAAACAAACAGGTTTTCATTCGGACCAAAATCTTGAAATCCAGAATTTCATGTGCAAATAAAAATTCAGTTTTTCCTTTTCTCTCCTTTGAATGTCCAATCAAAAACTTCAGATATCACTGTTACCTCCTTCTCATATATTACCTCCACCATCACCCCTTCTATCACCTCCACTTCTCCTTAAACATCACCATCACCTCCACCAGCTCCTCCAACATGACCCTCTCTAAAACCTCCACTCCCACCATAACCTCCACCATCACCTCCAACATCACCCCCACATCATCTTTACAATAAACTCCGCCACGACCTCCACCACATCCCTCATCTCCATCCCTAGACCCTCCTGACTCTTTGGGGGACAACCGGAAACTCATCAGCCAGTGATCCAGCACACGAGGTCCTTAACCTGACTCCCCACAGAGCACTGACACTCATGGGTCAGAGCCTGCCTCTCCCTCTCTCTCGCTCTCTCTCTCTCTCACACACACACACACACACACACACACACACACACACACACACACACACACACACACACACAGACACAGAGGGGCTGCTGTCTCTTTACTCTGTGGGGCTCTGGGTGTTTTTTCAGGCAGACTCAGTGTTCAGTGTGAAGTGACCTGGTCTGAACCTCAGTGTGCGGGTCTCAGCAGGGGGTCAGTCTGAGGGCTGCAGCTGAAGACATGCTTCAGTTTTTATTTAGTTCTGATTTTAGAGAAGGAGAGTGAAACTTAATTCCAGCTAACTCTATTTATTCTTCGATTATAAACTTTAGTCTGTTTAATTGGGTCACATATTATTCATTTATTGTTTTACTATTCTGAATTTTACTCAAAGTATTTGATATCATTCTGGTCATTTCTAAAATAATCTTTTAGGGTTTTGTCTTACTCCTTATATGTGTATGTTTTTATACTTTTTATAATATGTTAATTTCAGCTCCAGTGTTTCCTGTTTTATTCAGTAACACTTTAGGAAACACACTTTAATTTTAAATAAGTTGATTATTATCATGCATATTAGCAACTTATTAGCTCCCAATGACTCATTATAAAGCAGTTATTAACATATAGTTCTGCATGAACATGTTTAAGACTTATATGAAGCTTAACTCAGGCCTTTCCCCCTGAAACATCCTAATTACTAATTATTGATATCAACAGAGAAATGATCATATATCAGTAACCATTTTTACATGCTTCACACAGAAAAGGGATAATTAAGGTGGTAAAACAACAAAAAGTAATTCCACCTTGATAAAACTGGATAAAATGTGAACAAGTCTTGAGAAAAAAAAAAACTCAAATTGCAGGTGTGTTTAAAAGTGTCTTATCACTCTAAATGAGTCAGTTTAACTTTTGTTATGCCCCACCCGAAGGCAGCCCCATACAGCTAACAACTATCCTCACATTTTGCCCCATTAAAAATTAACAAAATACCGTCAAAAGTTTATCAAGTTATTTATTGTGACAAAAGAGCAAAACTTTTAACTAAACACAAAGAACCAATAACACAAATGTGAGGCAGCAGGGCAGCAGTTCCTCACCAAATGCCTCTGCAGACAGCAGGCAGCTCTTGGCCTTTTAATTCTCTGTACCAGGTGAATCTGATTGGCACTCAGTTATTTTACCTAGGCACTAGAGGAGACAAAAGAGGAGAAAGAAAAAACACACAAACACACTGCCGTAACACTATGAGTACAGTGTAACTCATTCTTAATTCTGGTTTATAAATATTTCAGTATAATAAGATCCTGTTAACCTGCTCAGCCTTCTCTTTATTCTAAGAAAATTAACAAATAACTCATAACTACTGCAGACAACAAACACAGTGGTTACAGCTCAGAATAATAAGAGCTCTGTTAGAGATTGTTTATGTGTGTGTGTGTGTGTGTGTGTGGGGGGGGGGGGTAGTCTGTTAAATGTGGGCTTGGAGGGTGGGTGGGGTTTTGCAGTTTGTATTTTATTTTATATTTTATTTTACATCCTTTGATCCCCTCCTTCTTGTGTTCTTTAATGTACAACAGTTTGTGACTCAGTTTATGTATGAAAAGTGCTTTATAAATAAAGTGATTGATTGATTGATTATTCCATACAATATAAATAATGTAACTAAGATTGTAAGAAGGTTTTCATGCAATTTTTCATGTTTATTTTTTCTGGGAGTAAAAAATGTAACAATATTACACTGTTACACAGTTACAATGTTACACGATTTCTATGCAACAGTGTTCCACTGTTTCAATATTTCACTGTCACAATGCTACAATGTTACACTGTTACAATGCAACAATGTTACACTATTACAATTTTACAATGTTACACTGTTATGATGCTACAATGTCACACTGTTACCCTGTAACAGTGTGACATTGGTACAGTGTTACACTGTAACAATGTCACTCAGCAGACATCTATATTCAAAGTGACATACCAAATTAGTTCAGCTCACTGGACATCACTGAAGGGTTCATAATCAGAACCTTTAATAAGATTTTGCTTTATTTTCTGTTTTATTTAAGTTTTGGTTATTGTTTATTAGTGGATAGATTTAGTATACAGGATTTAAATAATATGAAAGTTTGTGACTTTTCAGTGTTTACTCTTGATTTATGCCAGGTCATATAAAAGTGAGGACCTATTTGAGGACAAGTAAGTATGTGCATTGTTTATTATTGAGTATATGGATGGAAACTTTTGTAATGATGTCAGTTTTAATAAACTTTGATCCTTTTTTTTAAAGATAATGACTTTTTCCTTTTTAACTCATTTTAACTTCATCTTTAATCTCATTTACTCACCCTGTCTGCAACCATGTTATTTGCTCTCAAATGATACCTTTGCACCATGCTGTTATGGACCAATATAATTTCATTAAATCGTCATCATGATGCACATGCATGTCCATTCTGGTACAAATTACTCCCCTAAAATTAAATATACTGATAAAAAGATATACATATTTTTTTTATAAATCAAGATGGAACACAGAAAATGATCACTCTGATAATACACAAAGGTTAGTCACCTTCTCATTGTTTCATTTAAACCAGCTTTTATTGTAACTGTTGCATCATCTCTGTTTGTCCTCATGTTGTTGTGAAGCACTTCAGGCTGCAGCCTTTTAAATGCTAAACAAGGTTTATATGGACTTTATATAGGGTTAATATACATTCATAAACATTGTAAACACCATTTAAAACAGCATCACATTCACTTAAATATTTGTTTTGAACAGGGAACAACCCTGCTGGCTGACTGGTTTGTTTTTTGGGAATCTGAAAATCATAAACAGACTTTGAGCCCCCAAAAGAATCAGACTATTTATATTTGTCTTGATAAAGAAATTAAAGAACATGTCAATTCTGTGCTGATTCTCACTTACTCCACTGGTTCTTTTGGTATAAAGGTACAGTGTATAATACTATAGTGAATAATAGTATAGTGTATAATATTATTGCGGTTTGAGCATAAATGCTTCTTTGTTCCTTTTTTTGTTGTTTTAGTATAAACTCTTGTTGGTTTCTGTTGTGATGCATTTTTTTTTCATATAAACTCTAATCAGTTTCTGTTTTTGGTGTTTTTGGTATGAAAGTGTATAGGTACAGTTCAAAGCCCAGCAGCCTCTCCTTGGTGCCCCGTCTGACTCTGCTCTTTATCATCAGGTGGTGAGGCTATTTACTGTGGAGTCAAGGTCTCAGCACATGTTTACGGCTCTCTCAGATAGGCCATTGTTGTTAAAGCTCTCTGTTCATGCAGAGGCCGAGCTACAGATTCCATCTGATGAGGCCCCTCTGCCCCGGAGCCATGAGGAGCAGTTTTAACCCATTTCAGGAGCCACAAGAGGAGGTTTGAAAACCACTAAGAGTTTGAGGATAAGACATCCGGCACGCTTGTTTATCTCTGTCCTGTGGCTGCTTTCCTCCTTGGTCCATATTTACTCCTTACTGTTTATGTAAATCTTTTTTTATTTGTGCCTTTATTTGCCTGAAGACTCTCTGAATTAAACACAACCTTAGTTTTCCACAGCCTGGCTCTTTGGTCCATAACCCGGGAGCTGGAGCGGTGTGCTCTGGCTTTGATTTGCTGTCTTTTTTCAGTGTGGGAGGTTATGAGACCGCTCTAACCTTTCTAACATTAAAACTTTTCCCCTCTCAAAGATCACTGTGATAATCCTCTCTTTCCCGCCGCTGCTCTGACTCCCCTGTGGGCTGTACAGGAAAAAGCTTTTGCTCCAGCCCTGCTCCTCCACTGGCCTCTTTGTGACACGCCACCCCTCCTCTCAGGCACCACCGCCGCGTTCCTGCCCAGCCCAGCAGACAGCGTCCTGTGTGGTGGGGGCGAGGCCACAGTGGTGCCCTCATCTGTGGAGCATTAAGAGTGAGAAGTAGATTAAGGCTGTCTCCTCAACACTGGGCAGACCTCTGGAGTCTGCTGTTACAGAGAGACGGGGGGAGAGAGGGGGCCCAGAGGGGGTTCTAGAGGAAAGAACTTCAGACTGCTCTCAGATCTCCTCAGTCCTCAGACAGTTCACCGTGTCACAGATTATGAATCTGATGATGATGATGATGATTAAGATGGGGATGATGAGGATGATGAATATGGTGAAGATAAAAAAGTGATGGTGATGAAGGTAAAAATGAAGATGATGAAGATGACAATGACGGTGGTGATGATGAATATGATGATGATGATGGTGTGTGGAGGTGACTGAATGTGGAGGCAGACTTGGTCAGACAGACTTAATTCAGACCAGAGGTTGGACCTGAGAGTCCTGCAGTCTAACAGGAAGCCCTGGATTAACTCCTGTCCAAGTCAGATGACAGAAGGCCTGGGCTAGAATAGACTGGTTTTGATAAGACCTCTGCAAGTCTTAGTTCACACAGAGCTACAAACATGTAGACTTAATGTTGACCACATTTCAGCACACAAAAAAATGCTGGGTTGTTTTTTGAACCCAACCACTAGGTTGAGCCTGTTGGTCAATTTATTTGGGTTATTTTCATGGAGTTGTGTATTCTGAGTACCCAATTCACAAGGTTATTTATATTGGGAACAGAGTTATTAGCTGTTGGGTTGTAATTTCTATACAGTTTTGTTGGTTTATTGTGGACTACCCAACACACTGGGTAGATGTTCAGGCATTTGAAACCAAGCACCACCCACTCACCAGATTGATGCCACAACTGCTGAAGTGAGGAGACATACAAAGCAAGGTTTGTTACATTCCGACTATTGCTTTACCATATAGATGACTTGATATTATTACATAAACCCTCATTTTGTTGTTAAGATGTAAGTTTGTGAAGCACTGTTGTGTACCAGCTTCTGCATTCAGGAATTGATTGGTAGGCGAGCAAGCTAATGGTTAGCCAATGCTAGCAGCATAAAGTACATTGCCTCAAATGTAGCAAAGTATCACGTTAGCGGATTTTTGGTGTGGTGTGGTGTGGTGTGGTTAGAAATGTTGAACTACTGCTTTAATGGACTCTCTGTCTTGATGTTTCAGGTTGATTCGAACAATCAATGGATGACTTTATGACATGGAGTGGAGTGGAGTGGATGCAAGATACAACCTGTTCTACATTGTTTATTTGGAAAGATAAGAAAACCATATATATAAACATATGGTTTTCTTATCTTTCCAAATATATATATATATATATATATATATATATATATATATATATATATATATATATATATATATAAGAGAACTGCCAAATGTTTACAAACGTCAAAGTTCATTCTCCGTCAGTAAAATGAAAAGGGAGCTGTTAAGGGGTGGCAGTAGCTCAGGAGGTAGAGTGGTTATCCAATAACCGGAGGTTTGGCGGTTTGATTCCCCCTATCCAGAGTCTGTCTGTTGTGTTCTTGGGCAAGACACTTAACCCACCTTGCTCATGATTGTGAGTGTTGTGTGGTGGTCAGAGAGGCTGTAGCAACTGGCAGCAAAGTGTCCATCAATCTGCCCCAGGGCGGCTGTGACTATTATAGTAGTTTACCACCACCAAGGTGTGACTGTGTGAGCAAATGAATGATGTATCCAATGTAAAGCGCTCTGAGGGCCTCTGATAAAGTGCTATATGAAATCTGATGCATTAATTTAATACTATATTAAATATTAACAACCCAACACGCTGGGTTTAAAGAACCCAGCAGAGTAGTTATTGTGAACCCTTAGTTGGGTTAAGTGAACCAACCCAATTAGTTGGATAATTAAAACGAGCGCTGGTTTGGGAAACTACCCAAATTGGGTTGTTTTTAACCAAATGTTCCTAAGCATGAGTCAATTAACCTGAAAGTTATTTGATGCAACACAAAGCAGCAGTCTGGTTGAAGTGACCAAAACTAACAGAGGGTCTTTATCTCTGTACTTTGTGGAAGTGTTGTTATGAGACACTTTAGCTATTTGAAGTCTATTTATTTTGCTTCAATGATTGTCAGAGTGTCAGATTTTGGATTCAGATTCAAACATGGAGACCTGTGCCAAAGAGACTGACTACGAGTAAGTCACTGTATTGTTAAGGATCAGTCTGTGCGTTTTACTAGCAGTGTTTACCCGTCCCTTTTGTTAGCTGGACTCATAACATTACACATATCATTGATTACTGACTGAAATAGATTTTCAACACAAACAATTTTTCTCCTAAATCATATATGTCTACAGCCACACACTGGATATAATGATGGAAATATAAAGCTATAGATGTTAAATAGGCTTTATCAACATGTAGAGAAGACTTGTAATAATCTCTGCAGTCATACAGTCAGACAGACTGACCTGTTTGAGCCTCAGAGTGCGACTATAAAAAAAGAAAGACCCAGTCTGTTTAACTGTCTGTGTTTGTAAAATTTACAGTCAGAATCAGATCCTGATAAAACCCGACTCTGCAGACTCAGGAGAGAAACAACAGTCAGAGCTCTGTTACTGTAAGAGCTGCAGATAGCCCTGTGTGTTTGTGTGTGTGTGTGTGTGTGTGTGTGTGTGTGTGTGTGTGT